CAGGGTGAAAAATTATAATTTGATATATTTTAGCCTTTTCCCTAATATAACATACGTCTTATGTGGTAGGTGGTAGGGACGGAGATAAAAAGCAAGAATGTCTTAGTTTACAATGCTATGCATGAAAAGGCTTAAAAAATTATATCATAAAAAACAAAGGACAAAAACCCATATCTATATTCCTATAAGTTGTGCAACTATAACTTCGAATTTTTACTACAAAATTAGAATATATCTAACTAATTAATGAACTTGTAAGTTAACAATATGTACAATTCAAGCTAAACCCAACAATTTGCTAAACCATATTTTATCGATTTCACGACACCTTTACATGTTATCAAGTTTTTGCTCTTACAGTTTTTAGTACAACTAAGGGTTTTTTCAAAAATATATTTCAAATAAATTGGGCTAGAACAACTCTTCTATGAGTTCGTTGAACTTAATTGTTGCACGTTCTCGAGATGACTAAACCACCAATTTAAGCTAACCCCTTTTATTTGAACTAATGTGGGATCCGCTAACTCTCAAGGGCCTTGCTTAGACAAATATCTCATGCATTTCTCAACTAAAGAGATCGCCATTGAATATCAAACCGGTTGCTAAAGTAAAACACATCAAACGCATATGGAGTTTTTCCATTAACGGTACATATTGAGCAAATACAACTTCGCTCAAAATTTACTTTTCTGGAACACCAAATGCAAGAATGGCATAATAATTAGGGATTAATAGCAGAAAACCCTTCTAAAAATGTTTCCATATGTGATGTACCCCCACCTATTGAAAATCGCAGAAAACCCCCCATCAAGATCTATTAAATATGTCGTTAAAAACAATAAAAATACCAAAATTAAAAAGAAATAATTTTAATTTCAGCACCCAAACTTTTTATTTTTTTCACAAATTAAATTCAATTTTTTATATGGCACATCTACAATCCCAAATCTTTTAAACTTTATTTTCCACACCACCCACGCCACTTCATCTTCTTCCCCATTTTTTTTTTATTTTTTTAAACAATAAATAAAAAATGTTCTATCCTTCAAACCCCACCATCGCTAGCACCACACTAACTGGCCACAGCCACTCATCTCACAAAAAACGCACCATAAATCGCCGCCACCACCACCATCATCAAGCCAAAATCTTCACATCTCTGGTTCAATTCATCTGCACTCAACAACTCAGGAGCATCATTCCTAATTTTTGCATTTCGAATTAGTGGACTCAATTAACAGTCCCTTCAATTGATTGAGACGGAATAGCCTCAATGTTCTTGCAAGCTGGACGGATAAATGGCTGGATTGGATCAATTTTATGATTGCCCATATTTGTTTGGCCCTGATTATGTATTCCCCCCATATGAATTTATAGATTTAAACAGACCCATCAATTTTGGACAGAACATAGTTGCTGTGAGTACCTTTCTGGGCGAATTTTGAACCAGAAATTGGAGCAATTGGGGTGATAGCTGGGAAAATTAAATTCATGCCCACAGTCATTTGGACTTGTTGGTTTGATTGATGCCAACTTGGGGATTGGATGCTGTCTGAGGCATGAATTGAAAGAGGCGTGTTCCGCGAAAAATGAGTTTCGACTGTCAATAAATTCTAAATAATAGCAGATCTAACGGAGGCTTTTTGGGTTGATGTTAGGCCATGTTTAGGGTTGTCTAGATGAGGGCTAACCGCCGGTGGTGGTAAGCAACCATGGGTGTCGCCGAAAGTGGAGTTGCCAACAAGAAAAGTGTTCCCCAATTCGCTGTTTTGACTAGAAATTGTGGTTTTTTCCGGTGAATTTGATGCCGACAGTGGGATGGAAGTTTGATAGGAGTTTTATGTTCAAAATTTCCATTTTTTTATTTGAATGTTTAGTTCCTTGAAGAAGTCTAGCATAATTGTTGGGTCGTTAAAATCAATTTGTGAACGTTGGGTCTTTATCCCTATATTTGTGGGAATTTGTTGAAATTTTCTGCTATTTATTATGGAATGAAATAAAGATATAGCACCTTTTATGCTATTCTCTATGATTCACATCAAAAATTGGAGGTTCTCGCTTCTTCAAACGAGATAGACAATTCTCTTTTTACTTTACTCCCAAAATAGGTAAAGGAAAAGTTAATTCTACTAACAAGGCTGTACATGCTCGCTGGAGAGGTAATCCTATTGGTTGTTCAACAAGTATTTTGCTAAATTTTTGCAGAATTGCCTTCACTTGTGGATGGAATTCTTGCTGGGCTTCTCCTTTCTTTTCCTTAGATGTCAGTTTGAGTAAAATTCCTTTCGTCGATGTTAGCTTGTGAATTTCAAGGCCATCAACCACCATGTCCTTCGTGCTTTTCAATCCATGGAGACTAATAATCGTACCATACAATTCAAACTTCATTACTAATTTAGAGAAATCCCATTCAATCTTCCCTAGTGTGCAGAGCCATAGTGCTCCCAAAACAACATCACAACCTTCCAATGGTAAAACAACCTTTTTTGTGGTAGTTGATAGATTATCCAAATATGCTCATTTTATTGCTCTATCTCATCCATATACAGCCATTGGAGTTGCAAGAATATTCTTTGAAAATGTTTTCAAGTTGCATGGTATGCCTCGTTCCATTGTTTGTGATAGAGATTTAGTGTTCACCAGTTTATTTTGGCAAGAGATATTCCGGCTTCAAAGGACAGATTTCAACTTTTGTTCTAGTTACCACCCTCAAACAGATGGCTAGACTGAAGTGGTAAATAGAACATTAGAGATGTATTTGCGGTGTTTCACAAGTTCACAACCTAAGCAGTGGACGAAATGGCTGACATGGGCAGAGTTTTGCTACAACACGAGTTGGCACTCATCTGTCAAAAGCACTCGCTTTGAAGTGGTATATGGAAGGGCTCCTCCTTCACTTTTGGCTTATGTTCCAGGTACAACAAGAGTAGCAGCAATGGAAGAGGAGCTCAAGAATCGTGACCAAGTTATCCAGGTTGCTCGGGACATCATCAAACAGGCTCAGGCAAGAATGAAACGAATATATGATTAAAACACCGAGAAAGAGAATTCTCGGTAGGTGATTGGGTATTTCTTAAACTTCAGCCTTATAGACAACTATCATTAGCCAGGAGGCAGAATCTGAAACTCTCTGCGAAATTCTACGGTCCTTTCAAGGTATTACAAAGGATTGGTAAGGTAGCTTACAGGTTGGAATTGCTTGAGTCCTCAAAATTACATTCAGTGTTCCATGTTTCACTATTAAAGAAGAAAGTTGGTGATCAATCGGTCATAACACAGCTCCCTGTCATGGATCAAGTTGAAGAGAAAGTAATTCTTCTGTAGCAAGCAATTTTGGACAGACAAATGAAGGGTAAGAGACAAGAAGTTTTGGTGCATTGGCAAGGTTCATTTCCAGCTGAAGCAACTTGGGAGGATCGCGAAATCCTTAAAAATCAGTTCCCCAGATATTAGCCTTGAGGACAAGGCTGAAATTTAAGGGGAAGGGAATTGATAGGAGTTTTATGTTCACAATTTCCATTTTTTTATTTGAATGTTTAGTTCCTTGAATAAGTCTAGCATAATTGTTGGGTCTTTAAAACCAACTTGTGAACGTTGGGTCTTTATCCCAATATTTGTGGGAATTTGTTAAAATTTTCTGCTATTTATTATGGAATGAAATAAAGATACAGCACCTTTTCTACTATTCTCTCTGATTCAAATCAGAAATTGGAGGTTCTTGCTCCATCAAACGAGTTAGACAATTCTCTTTTTACTTTACTCCCAAAAGGAAAAGTTAATTCTACTAACAAGGCTGTACCAAAGTTGTAGGTGGGAGTGCGGCAGGGCTGGTGGTGATTTGGTTTGGTAGCCTTGGTGGTCGAAAGATGGTGTTACGAGTCTCCATAGCTTACTGCTAACATGGGTTTAGTAAGATTCAGACGTCTTACAATGAAAGTCATTAACCACTTTGTCTAAATAAAACCTCTTATTGCATAATGTACCAAACAAAGTTCGGGTACTGAAAACAAAGATTTGGGGGTGGAAAATAAAGTTTGGGCACAAACAAAATTCAGGGTAAAAAATAAAATTTTAAAGATTTGAAATTGTATTTGACACATACAAAAGATTTGAATTTAATTTGTAAAAAAAAAAAAATGTATGGGAACTAAAATTGTCATTATTTATTTTTTAATTTTGGCATTTTTTATAGTTTTTAAACATAAATCTTACGGATCTTGACAGTAGGGACGTTTTTTGCACAAAAGGATTCAAATAAGAGGATTTTCTATTCGAATCATGCTACACTAATATAATAGTTGACATAATCTTTACTATAATGTCACATGATATCGGACTGTTTAAAATACAGCCAACTTTCTATCTAATTTTATATTTTCGACATTAATTCTGTCAAAACATCCGTTATCATTTTTCTGTCAAGGTGGCTTTACCCTTTCTCTGCTATTAATCCTAATTATTAGCATAAAGTACTGGGGAATATAGAGACAACATTTGTTATTATAAGAGACTTCGTCAATACTTTCCAATAAACTATATTTTGTATTTATAGAGTAATACAATGAAAAGATCAAATAAAAAACACCAAATGTAGAGACTTCTACGATAAAGTTCTATCGTTGATAGTGAGAATAACTATGTTAAAGAGGACAACACATGATGAAACCTACAAAGCTTCTCAATTCAAGAGACTTCTAATTTATATCCATGTATTTGTGCAGTTACGATTACAACCTCGTCAATACCAGAGAATATACATGCCATAGGGACTATATTTTATTGAGTTCAACAATTTGTATGTCTCTTAACAGTTACAAAATAGAATCTTGTTAAGGTTCTCGGTGAAAACAAGGTTTATAAAATATTGGAATGTCTTTATAAAGTGTCTTTCTCTATGAGGTTTGGTTTCAAGAAGTCATCCTAAAAACTTATGAGTTCTTTCTCACTCTACAGACAAATGCAAAGAGAGAAAAAATTTACTGTGTGAAAAAGTTGCAGAGATGGCGTGCAGTTTGCCATCCATAACTAGCTCTTCTTCATTCACTATTGAAAACTCACAGAAAAACGAAGGCAGGCTTCGTAAATCATGGTCAAGTAAAAATTTAACCAGAAGGGCTGGAATACGAAGAGCTTTTTCCGACAACAATCTATTTTGTCGTGTCAGTCGTATTCAGGCATCAACGGTTGAGCCAAAGTTGAAAAGTAGCAGTAGTTCAGCTGGCTTCTTCAATATTCAATTATCAAGTACCATGATCCCCGATACACTAAAGCCATTTTTATTTGATCTAGAGCTGAGTAAAGAGATTACTATTGAGGACAAATTGGTCGAGAGTGAACGAGAAGATGAGATAGACGTGGAGAAGGTCAAGAAACGAGCAAATTGGATCGAAAGACTTATGGAAATCCGGGATAGTTGGAAAGAGAAACAACAAAGGGAAGATGTTAATGATGTTGGGGAAAACAATGAAGCTTGTGATGAAGATGGAGGTTGTGAAGTTGATTATGATGATGATGCAGAAGGAAAGGAAATGAATATTGACGGTAAAATATTTTCTTCATTGTTGGGGAAAGTATCCTGGTCGGATACTAAGTACTTCTCAAAATTGGCCTTTCTATGTAACATGGCCTATGTGATCCCTGATATCAAGGTATGTCTAGTGATTACCTCGTTTAAAAGTTTACGCGGTTAGAGATGGACACATTTATTTATTAAATTTAGTTTTTGACACAATCTTCATGCACATGCTGATATCATATTGTCCCGAAGTGCCAAGAAATCACCCCCATGCAATCAAAAACCTTGAAAATTGGAACTTCAACTTCGCTATTTTTCATTATTCATTTATTCAAGTTAGGTACCATTACATTCATCGGTGGTGCTACATGTATATAATGGTTTACATATATATGATGTGATGAAATATGATTTGGTTAAAAAATTTTTAACCAAAAAAAAAAAAAAAAAAAAAAAAAAAAAAATTTTCTCATTTTTTTTTACACCGCTTCTATATGTAAACTATTATTTAACTCCATTAAATACAAGTAGCATTATTCTACATTCATTTCAAGATCCTCAATTGAACATCACCTACAGATTGCTTAATGACATGAGAAGTGGCACGAGTACTTAAATCACTTAATTAATTTGTTCCAAAAACTTGCAGACCAGGGACCTAAGCAGATATTATGGCCTTGAATTGGTTACATCTTCGCTAGAGAAAAAGGCAGAAGCAGAAGTTACGAAAGACAAACCTGAGCAGGATTCCACTACTGTGCATGTAGCAACGTCAGCAAGTGTGGATTCTATTTCAACAAAAACAATGGACCGTGAGCAAAAATGCCGTCTTCGGCCATCTGATGCTTATGAAATTGCAGCATCAGCAGCAGTTTATGTCCAATCCCGAACCAAGGATGACCTCCAAGAAGAGGAGAAGAAGAGCTCTTCCCACCGAGTTTCCAAGTCAGAAATGGCAGCATCTGTAGCAGCATCAACAGTGACAGCAGTGATTGCTGCAGACGAGAAGGAAAAACAGGAGGCTGCAAAGGACCTACAGTCACTTCATTCCTCACCATGTGAATGGTTTGTTTGTGACGATTCAAGCATATACACTCGCTGTTTTGTTATCCAGGTAACTAAAACATCCAAGATTACATTCATACTGGCATTGGACTCTTGCTAATGAATTAGAAATATGGTGACAATTAGATGGGATTCTGAAAGAATAGCACAGACAAGTGGTCTGAGAACAGCATATAATTACTTGAAACACATGAGATATATAGTTAATCTCAACCTAAATGTACTTGAGTGCAAGAAAGAACTTGTGGCAGCAAGATAACCTATAACTTGACAAGATACCTGTTGATGACTTGTAGGGTTCGGACTCAGTGGAATCATGGCAAGCAAATCTCTTTTTCGAGCCTACCGAATTTGAAGTAAGTAATTGCTATCAACTCTTCAAAATACCACTCTCTATATATTTATGCACTACAAAGGAATGAAGGAAATAGAGTCATTGAGAGGGTAATTTCATTTATATCAGGGAACAGATGTGCTCGTTCATAGAGGAATTTATGAAGCTGCAAAAGGGATTTATGAGCAATTCATGCCAGAAATAATGCAACATTTAAACAGATTTGGCGATCGAGCCAAACTTCAATTTACTGGTCATTCTCTTGGGGGCAGTCTTGCTCTTCTAGTCAACATGATGCTATTAACAAGGAAGGTAATCAAGCCATCTGCTCTTCTTCCAGTGGTCACTTTTGGATCGCCGTTTGTGTTCTGTGGTGGCCACAGAATCCTTAATGAGTTGGGTTTGGATGAGAACCACGTTCATTGTGTGATGATGCATAGAGATATCGTCCCAAGAGCATTCTCCTGCAACTATCCCAACTACGTTGCCCAAGTCCTCAAACGCTTGAGCAGAACCTTTCGGTCCCACCCTTGTCTAAATAAGAGTGTAAGTGTCCTTCTTAGGAATATTAAACACAGTGCTTTGCTAATCACTCAATGAACACTTCCCCAAACATAACACATTCCTACTGTATGCATTTTAAACTTTAGATTTTATATACTCATGCTCCTATATGTCATCACCTTGCAGAAATTATTATACTCTCCCATGGGGAAAATTTTTATCCTCCAGCCTGACGAGAAGTCATCCCCACCTCATCCTTTACTTCCTTCTGGCAGTGCCCTATATGCCTTGGATTCTACCAACTTTTCCCTTACAAAGACCGCTTTTAGAGCCTTCTTAAATTCTCCCCATCCCCTTGAAACTCTAAGTTACCCCACAGCATATGGTTCTGAGGGTACAATCATAAGGGACCATGATTCAAGCAACTACCTGAAGGCAATGAATGAAGTTATAAGACAACACACAAGGCAGGTCAACAAGAAAGTGAGTAAACAGACAAAGCAATTGTGGCCCCTGTTAACATCCCAGTCGCCACATATGTGGAGCAACAAACGAAATATAGGAGATACAATGGTGACAAAAGAAATATTGACTGGCGTCTAATTTCTTCTAGATGATCACATCCTGATGTTCATAAGAATTTACAAAGTTTCATCTTGTAAGTATAATCATAAAATCTTGCTCGTCATTTAAAATCACACAGTTCACAGCTGTTACAGTTAAACATTTCACTTTACAACTTAAATAAGGCTTGATAAAATCTCTCCCCCTCATAATAAACAACAATGAGAGCATGCACGTCAAACATTTTAAGAAGATACAAAAGCCAAAATTATAGCCCCACATCTTTTTATCATCTTTCTTCTAGTGATATTGTATTAGAAAACTTAATTAAATTTAAACGCCTACCCACAAAAAAGAGGCAAAAATAGAATTTTTTGAATATGAATAAGCATTTATTTAAGCCACAAAGGCATGCCCGTGTTCGACAGTTCACAGCTGTTACAGTTAAACATTTCACTTTACAACTTAAATAAGGCTTGATAAAATCTATCTCCCTCATAATAAACAACAATGAGAGCATGCACGTCGAACATTTTAAGAAGATACAAAAGCCAAAATTATAGCCCCACATCTTTTTATCATCTTTCTTCTAGTGATATTTGTATTAGAAAACTTAATTAAATTTAAAAGCCTACCCACAAAAAAGAGGCAAAAATAGAATTTTTTGAATATGAATAAGCATTTATTTAAGCCACAAAGGCATGCCCGTGTTCTTGTTAGTAAAAAATTCACAGAATATAATAATATATGTTATTGACTAAGAAAGAAAAAAACAGGAATAAAGAATTGCAGGAATATATTCTTAGTTTACACCGCTAAGATTAAGGTTTTTATGCATGAAAAAGCTAAAGACAAAATTTATATCATCAAAAACAAAGGAAAGGACAAAACCCCATATTTATATATGTTCCTAAAAGTGTGCAACAATAACTTCAAATTTTCACTACAAAATTAGAATACACCAAGGTCTGAGCAATTAATGAACAAAGATTGTAAATTCGTTAACAATATGTCTACATTAAGGGTCCGTTTGATTGTAACGATGGAATTTTGATGTAAAGAAAACAAATTCTAGGAAATTGAATTGCTTGAAAATTGTTTTCCTGGGAATTGTCAATTTATTATGTTCGATTGGTATAATTTTTCACGTGAAAAATGTTGAAATAAAAGTATTTTTTTGTGTTCGTTTGACTTTATTTTACATGAGAATTATGAATTAAAGAGATAAAATTTACTGGTGTTAGGGATAGAATTTGTTTATATTGCCAAAAGAAAAAAAAAGCAAAGAAAATCATCCAACTTTTGGTATTCGTTTAACTTTGTTTTATATGTAAATTGTGAATTAAAGGAAAATATTTTTTACAATTAGGAATAGAATTTATTTCCATTGTCAAAAAAACAAATTAAAAAAAATATAAAAAAAAACGTCAATAGTTGGTTGGAAAACCAAGAAAATACCAATTTCCAAGAAAAGCAAGTAAAACAAATTCAGTGTTCGTTTGACTTTATTTTACATGAAAATTATCAATTAAAGAGATAAAATTTACTGGTGTTAGGGATAGAATTTATTTATATTGCCAAAAGAAAAAAAAAAGCAAAGAAAATCATCCAACTTTTGGTATTCGTTTAACTTTGTTTTATATGTAAATTGTGAATTAAAGGAAAATATTTTTTACAATTAGGAATAGAATTTGTTTCCATTGTCAAAAAAAACAAATTAAAAAAATATAAAAAAAAACGTCAATAGTTGGTTGGAAAACCAAGAAAATACCAATTTCCAAGAAAAGCAAGTAAAACAAATTCCATGAAAAACATAGGCTATCAAACACCAAGAAATTGGTGGATTCCATTTTCCATGGAATTTGGCCCTATCAAACATAACCTAACTGTTCCAATTCAAGCTAAACCTAACAATTTGCTAAACCAGATTAATTATGGAATTCACACCACCTTTACACGGTATTCGGTGTTTTCGTTTACTATTTTTAGTGCAACTAAGGGGGTTTTCAGAAATATATTTCAAATAATTTGGGTTGAAATAACTATTCTACGAATGCATTGAATCTAACTGTTGCATGTCCTTCCTTTGACTAAATCACCAATTTAGGCTTACCCTTTTTATGCCACCAATTATGCCAAAACCAGCCCCATAAAGCCATTTTTCCAGCAGTTCTTTGGTCGGATTGGCTATGAGATAACTGTAGGATCAATTGGAACATTTTGCATCAGTTACAAACCACACAGGTTTCAGAGGATCCACGTGCAGCATGTCAAACAAAACACTCATGTCTAAAAGAAATGTACCCAAAGGAAGAGAACTTACAGCAAAGAAAATTTCCAAGGTACATTTGATCCATCTTTCCTTCAGAAGTGATTATATTTTGCGTATTTGAACATCTGTATTGGATGTACCATTGTTAGCTTCTTTTACAACATTTCTTATCTCTTTTATGGTGATATCAACCAAAGAAACATATGTCATAATTAGCTACAAATAAATCTAATAGGATTTTCTGTTTCTCTAAATTCTTATATTTGAGGTTACTTTAGTTTTTGCATTTGGGCTGCGTGTAGATGTCATATTGGTTGAACTAAATTGAATCAAGATTCGAAAGGCTGAACTTATAAGAAGGAATGCTGGAAGTACAAATAACAAAAATGCAGCAATACATAAACACTTGATACTGCTTATGTAAAGAAAATAAATGTGCCTGCGCTTTCGAAGTCGCAGTGAAAATAGAACAAAAATTACATTCACTAGAATAAAATTAAAAGTAAGTATAATTAGTTTTCCAATAAAAGTTTCCCTTATCTGGACATAGGAATCAACCCCCCACCCATCTGAGAAATTCTAGACATGACTTCGCAAATAGAAAAGATGTGAAAAAAAAAAAAAACAAAAAACAAAAAAACACAGTACCTTCAACTCTCTATGCTTGCAGAAGAAGAGCTTGTGAATGGTGGTGAGAATCTTCATTGTCTTCATCACTCATACCATAGCCAAACAACACCAATATTCTACTATGAACAAAATCCCTCAAAGGTCCAGGAGCTTTATCAGCTTTCACAATGGCAAATTTAACTCCCTCCAGAACCAGCATGGTAAGTAATGTAGCCATGTATTACTTCACAATTGTGCTTGGTGTCCCTTACAGCCCCCTCACAATGGGGGGCCCACAATTAAAAAATTCATGTGAGGAGGCTGTGCATGGTGTACAAGGAGCTTTATTGATTATTTCATATAGTTTTTCATAAGCACCACGATTTTACATATCGATCATATACCTTTTATTTCATTAGTAAGCCAATATAAGTCGAAAAGGAGTTTTCGACTTATGAGTACCCCTTGGCCAATGTTTTCCTTATCAACTTAATTAAATGAAATGTAAATCAAAATATTTTATTATCTAAGAGTGACGAATTTTCTATTGATTATTCACAACATTTATATGATTCTTGATGTACCCGAACGATGCCATATTAGCTGTCTTTGACAGAGCAACATCCAACGTCGCAAAAGTATGATTGTCCTCATATAAGATACTATGACGACCTTAAGTCGAAGAATCAATTTTACTACCGAACGTTAGAGATTAACCACTGATAATTAGATAGTTATTCATGTAAAATCTCCTCAGTGGGTCTTCAATATTTTGTTCAATAACAAAACATTCACGTGTTTATTTAAGTGTCACCATACTTTAGTTTGTGAGATTAACTACTTACTTTACTAGTAAAAAATGTCACACGTGATAATCTATCCATAATAACAACATCCGTATATCGTTATTACTTACGATCATGAATGATTTGAGATTCAGTCATATCACAACTCTCTGTTATTAACAAAATTACGGACTCTATTATTTAAATTAATTTGATTTAATATTAATTAAATAGTAGGTCTGACATAAAATTACATCAATTATATATAGTAAAAATGTTTATGATCAAAGTTGATTGAATCTAAGCTATAACACTTACAATATCAAATATGTCAAGAAGGCAAGAACATAGATTTACTTGAGGCACAACTGATAAAAAGATCAATATATCGTTGTGCCTGAATTGGAAATGTTGAATCAAAAGAAATGTGAGCATGGGCAACAAACAAGATTTATATAACTGCTGTGGGAAAATCGATATTTTTTTGAAACAGTTTCTTGAAATTACCCTCAATCCCGTATCTCGGTATGAACCCTTGAGATTTAACGTTCAAGGCCTCTAAATTTATTTATTTCTGGCCTTCTTATTCACAATTTCTATAAATTATGCTTCTCTTTATGATTTTCAACACATTTTTCCTTGAGACTTTTTACATTCTTCCGAGGATAAAGAAAGCGATGAAAGAACCAAAATAAGATATTAATTCTGCATGAACAAGGGTGTCCGTGTTCGTATTGGTCTCAAAATTCCCTTTGCTCTCAATATTCTCTTCTCCTCCATTTTCAGCAACCTTGTTCACTACAGATTCTGACATTTCTTTTGCAACAGCATTACAGCAGCAGTCTTTGGAGATTAGTATATAAGATTCACAAGAAAATGCAGAATTTCTAAACATATGAGGGCATGGCTATGATTTCTCTTGGTATGTTTGGCTCGCTTAAAATTTAAAAGCATGCTTTTCAACTTCCTCTTTGGCCCCCAAATGAGCAGCCAAAAGGTGCTTTTACGTATACCAAGTTTAAAAGAAAACGAGGTTTTCAGGAAGATACAATTAAATTCAATAAATTTAGACGCGATCCATATTTGGTCCAAGTCTGACGAGTTCTAACTTGTTCTACTCATAATTATAATATAGGAAAAGAATCTACTTACCTTTGAACTTGATACTCCTTATGTAAAGAAAATAAAATGTGCCTGCGCTTTCGAAGTCGCAGTGAAAATAGAACAAAAATTACATTCACTACAATAAAATTAAAAGTAAGTACAATTAGTTTTCCAATAAAAGTTTCCCAATAAAAGTTTCCCTTATTTGGACATAGGAATCAACCCCCCACCCACCTGAGAAATTCTAGACATGACTTCGCAAATAGAAAAGATGTGAAAAAAAAAAAACGAAAAAACACAGTACCTTCAACTCTCTATGCTTGCAGAAGAAGAGCTTGTGAATGGTGGTGAGAATCTTCATTGTCTTCATCACTCATACCATAGCCAAACAACACCAATATTCTACTATGAACAAAATCCCTCAAAGGTGCAGGAGCTTTATCAGCTTTCACAATGGCAAATTTAGCTCCCTCCAAACCAGCATGGTAAGTAATGTAGCCATGTATTACTTCACAATTGTGCTTGGTGTCCCTTACAGCCCCCTCACAATGGAGGGCCCACAATTAAAAAATTCATGTGAGGAGGCTGTACATGGTGTACAAGGAGCTTTATTGATTATTTCATATTGTTTTTCATAAGCACCACAATTTTACAAATCGATCATACCTTTCATTTCATTATTAAGCCAATATAAGTCGAAAAAGAGTTTTCGACTTATGAGTACCCCTTGGCCAATGTTTTTCCTTATCAACTTAATTAAATGAAATGTAAATCAAAATCTATTATTATCTAAGAGTGACGAATCTTCTATTGATTATTTACAACATTCATATGATTCTTGATATATCCGAACGATACCGTATTAGCTGTCTTTGACAGAGCAACATCCAACGTCACGAAAGTATGATTGTCCTCATATAAGATACTATGATGACCTTAAGTCGAAGAATCAATTTCACTACCGAATCTAAATTTCACTAAAGTTATTTATTTCTGGCCTTCTTATTTACAATTTCGATAAATTATGCTTCTCTTTATGATTTTCAACACATTTTTCCTCGAGACTTTTTACATTCTTCCGAGATAAATAGAGCGATGAAAGAACCAAAATAAGATATTAATTCTGCAAGAACAAGTGTGTCCGTGTTCGTATTGGTGTCAAAATTCACTTTGCTCTCAATATTCTCTTCTCCTCCATTTTCAGCAACCTTGTTCACTACAGATTCTGACACTTCTTTTGCAACAGCAGCAGTCTTTGGAGATTAGTATATAAGTTTCACAAGAAAATGCAGAATTTCTAAACATACGAGGGCATGGCTATGGTTTCTCTTGGTATGTTTGGCTCGCCTAAAAGTTAAAAGCATGCTTTTTCAACTTCCTCTTTGGGGCACAAATAAGCAGCTTTTACGTAGAGTTAAACGTATACCAAGTTTAAAAGAAAACAAGGTTTTCGGGAAGATACAATTAAATTCAATAAATTTAGACGCAGATCCATATTTGGTCCAAGTCTGACGAGTTCTAACTTGTTCTACTCATAATTATAATATAGGAAAAGAATCTACTTACCTTTGATCAAGTGTAGCTATAATAAAAAAAATAAAAAAATTATAGAGAGTTTCTACTTGTTCTTTCACGATTCGGGTTTTGGAATAGGAAAAGCTCTCTTATCAATCGAATTACTATTTCAGACTCAATCATGTCACAGAAGTAAAAAGATCGATAAGAAAAAGAAAGAACTGGATTAATCAGAAAGGCTTGGAAAACAGAAAGTATGAGTGAATAATTATATTTCATCCGTATATTAGTTCAATGACTTGAGATTAATATGGTTAGCCGTTTAATCTGTTTCTGGCAATGAGGAATACTATTTGTACATCATTGTATACATAGTATAGTATTTTTTGTGAGTGGGGGACGAGGGGGTAGGGGAGGTACCAATCCTTAAACTGTAGACCTCAGTTGCAGAAGTTATCTTGCTCTATTTAGAGCATGAAAACGGGACTAGTAGTTCTGAAGAATTAAGCTGCATGGAACTTAAAATTGAGATTACAAAGATGGTGTCTTGAGTGCGTTTCAGAGATGTAAATGAGACTAGTATTGGCGTCTGTGTCGTGAATAAATTTGGAAACTTTATTTTGTAAACTCGTACTGTCGTCTACTTCACAACGGAGTGAATGACCCAGATGCAACATATATGGCAAGAATATGACATCAAAAGAAGAAAAGATAACAACTAGATAGAGATTGCATCCAAGTCAATCCCATAATTTATGAGTAAGTATATATAATTGAAAAGGCTTAAAATAGTACAAAATTGTCAAAAAGCAACAAGAAATAGTTCAGAATAAGAGATCATGTAAAAAGGCAACAAACTTTGGATTGTTTCATGTACAATTTTGAGGTCTTGCCTTTCTATTGTGAATCATTGTCCTGTTACGTAAATTATCCTATACTATACCAGATACTACATAAGAAAATGCTTGCAGTTATCTGATGAAACTAAAAGAATTGTGTGGAAGTTGGTTCATGGTTCTGTATCAAATTTTTATTACAGATTCTTAGGAGAGCTCGGAATCAGAGACATGACCGGATGTTCTCCATGGCTTTGGACTTGTTAACATCAGCTGACTTTCGGAATTCATTCTCATACTGCGTCCACGAGGTGTTATTTGTGGTGGCCTTACCGATCTTCCCTTTGGTGTCCCTGCAAAACAGCCGTGATAATATTGTTAGTTCATTGGATGTTTTTCTTTTCATTGTCTCAATAGTGCTTTCAAATAAAATTTAAAACGGATAAGCATAAACCTGACCATGGTTAACATGCTAGACTACATTTAACTTTAATAATTTTAAGTATATCAGGCCCTGCAGTTTTCAGACTAGAATTCTTCTGAATTTGCAGAAATATATATGCCTATTCTCAGGATTTTATTTTCTTGTAAAGGACAAACATTTGGAATTTGCGAATCTTGAATCAATGCTAGCTAACACTAGGCAATGGCATTTTCAATCACGTGATTTTGCCCTTTGCTAAGTTCTCATTGCTAGGTATCTATCCTAACAAAAATTACCGGATGCTATGTAAAAGATTTCAAAGTCAATAGATAACCTGGCAGTTTCTTGGCTTTGACGCTTAGCGATTTCTTTGATAATGAAAGTTTCTTGTTTGACATGTCGGGAGAGGATAAGCATTTCTTTACAGTTGGTCTTGGTGATCGTGCTGGTGATGATAATGGATCATCTGCTATTACATTATCATCCCCACAGGCTGAAGCTCCATCACTTCCTGATTCGGAGGTATCTCTCTGATTTGTATTTGGTTTTTCCTTCTCAGTCACTCTGTAAGCAAACATCTGAAATGGGATTTGTGATACAGGCAACAGATTGGACTTTCCCATGTAAGGAAAGCTTCTTATGATCTCTGCCTCAATATCGCTGAAATCTACTGGTGGCATTGGTGGATTTGGCTGGCTGTGTTCAGGGTTCATAACTAAGAAACGCTTAATGTATCGAAGAATTCTACAGATAGATGAGAAACTCGGCCTTTGATTGGGATCCGAGTGCCAACATTTCTTTGTTAAGCTTGCTACATATTTAGGTGAATGGAATGGGAAAAGTGGCCTCTCTCCTGCCCTAATGTTTCGGCTCATTTTATCGCCTTGAAGATGGCTATCTTCAAATGGGACCTTGCCCGTTAAAAGCTCGAAGCAGATCATCCCAAAGCTGTAAACATCTGACTTATCGTTATACTTCAAATTTCCTCCCTCAATGCTCAACTCTTCTTGTTCTGTTAGCACTTCTGGTGCATACCAAATAAAAGAAAGTTGTCCACTAGGACTTTTGGGGGCTTTTTGTGTGAGACTAATAGAGGATGATAGACCAAAACCTGATACTTTAGCATGTAAATCCCCGTTTTTACTAACATTCCTGGCTTTTATAAGAATATTAGAAGGGTTTAAATTTCCGTGATAGATTTTTTTTGAGTGGAGATATTCCATTCCTCTTGCTATCTGCAGCATAAGATCAACAGCAACTGGAAGTGAAAATGGAATTCTCTTTCTTGGACCGCAGAGTTCCTTAATGTAACTGGATAGATCTCTCTCCATGAGTTCCATTACCAAGAAACATTCTTTCTTTTCCTCGTCTGAAAACCCACAAAGGACATGCATTATATTTGAATGACACAGACATGATTCCTTAGAAATCTCGGGTATCAGTACCTTAATGTCCCCAAAAAAGTGTCTTAAAGCGAAGGTTTCACCTAACCACTGAATCTCCTTATACTGGCTCCCATTTCCCAAACGTCGTCTCACTTGATAATCCTTTGAACTTACCAAAGTTTCAAAAGGTAAAAGTATATCATCCATCGTCTCTGAACCATATAAATTCTTCAAAAAAATATCAGCAAGTTTCTGATCATTCTTCGAACTTAATCCACCCAACTTCTTCTTTTCTTGAATTTTCTTGAGTAGAAACCATCCATCTTCGTCCCAAGCTGAATCTAACCGATTACAAAAATCTTGAGAAACCAAATACTGTTTTCCAAATTTCCACTGAAAAAGTCTTGGATCGTTCCAGTCTTTCTGGTATTTCAATGAATACATAACCTTCTTCTTCTGCATTTCATCTTGATCCACCCCTGATATCTCCCCCGCCATTTCAATTGCTTCAACGACAACAGGAAAACAGGACAACAAGTTATGTATATGAAACTCAATGCAGTCCTTATTCCGGTGGAGGGAAATTGCTTTTCCCCACCAATTCTTTGTTTCCAAACACTGCCTAATGTACATCTCTCCTTCTTTGAATATTCTCAGAAGCTCCTTTAATGGATGCTCAATAATTTTCCATTTTGTGTTCTTTTCTTCAAATCGCAAATTCTGTTTGATTTGCTCTGCAACTGTTTTATATGCTGAAGCAAACATATCAACCAATAGACGACACTGCCTCTGATTAATCTGTATATCATCTTGGAATACCATTATGGCATTTAAACTTCCAATCAACTTTCCAATCTGCCTGAACTGCTCCATTCTTTCTTGGATTTTATTGCATAATCTGTAAATGGGCACCACAAGATTTCTAAATCATATCTTCATCTGAATCTGTTTTAAATTTCAGAAAAAAAATTAATGAAAAAATCATCAGGAAATTACCTCCAAAAAATATTGTGAAGAAACTGGAATTTTCCTTGCAACACGGGCAGATAAGAGAAATCTTTATTGAATCGCACACATAAAAGTATTTATTGCATCAACAATACAGAAGGATGAAGAAGGATTCATCGACCCAAATTTATGAAATGAGGCCTAATTTGTGTTTTGGACGGCAATGTGAGAATGAATGATTGAATTAATTAATTTTTTTTTTTTTTTTTTTTTTTTACAAGGTGTCCTATTCTAGACTAATCCTTGGGTCTGTGATCCGGCCCCTCTTCACACAGTCCGGTTAATCGCAGGATGTGCCTCCAACTGGCCAGGGTCCGAGCACTCTCCACCTGGTCTGACAAAGTGCCAAGCAAGCCAATCCAAGTTGCACCTTGCCTTCCAAGAATAATCCTTGCCTTCCAAGTTCCCACTTGCCTTCCAAGAATAAATCCTTGCCTTCCAAATGTTCCCTTGCCTTCCAAGAATAAATCCTTGCCTTCCAAGAGCCCCATGTTTCGAACTCACGACCTCTGCTCTGCCAGGTTTGACAGCGTCCGTCCTTTGCCAGTGGAGAAGTGCCCTAGGGGGCGGCCTAATTTGTTGTTTGGACGGCAATGTGAGAATGAACGATTGAATTAATTAATGCCAAATGATCGCAAGAAAAAGAAAAAAACAAGAAATTTTGCAAAAATCAACTGAGATGGGAATATAAATTTGACATCAAAACTGGTCATAGAGAAAGATCCAAGAGAACGGGAAAATTGGGCTCTCTTGGATGAATCTAAAATTAGCAGAAAATGAAATATATTCATGCAGAGAGATTGCCAACACCTGGCAGCTTGTTGGCCATTTTTAAGATTTGTATTTGATGCCACCAAAAATCGTACATGTTGATTTCCCGAACTTGAGGAGTTTGAATGAGCACGATCGTAATCTTTCGGTACCTGAAACAAAGGCAACGAGGTATGTTTTCGTCGTCTCTCCGATGCTTAAGTCAGAAAGGGAATTATGTGCGTGAGGCTATAAGTTGAGAATAATGAGAATGTACCTGAATAATGTCCAAGGATGGTATTTATAGGGGTAGGCAGTACATTCCTGATAGGATTGGGATGGGGTGAATGTTCTTATCTAATAGAGTCCAGTTCGTAAGGAATGTCCCACTCGTAATGGAACTGTTTCAATGGTGGTGTTAGAAATGATATAGAGTCCAGTCCTTGGGGGTTTAGGTGTCTGTTCGTTGGCAATATATTTATCTCGAGGACCTCTCAATGGACACTGACCTGAGGACATATTCTCAAGGAAGTAAGAGGTGAGTTTCCATGGTAGTGTGAGCAATCCTTGAGGACTAACATATCTTGAGGACGTCTTGGCAGAAAAGTGAGGCGGAACACGTAGGCAGTCCTCGAGGAAAAAGTCCTCAAGTATGCAATATTGGTACTATCACTATCCTGTGCACCCTTCCTAGAGTGTGAGCTCTGGGATGGGGTACACATGATTTACAAATACCTCGTCGTAGGTCGCGTCGTCGAGAAATATGGGCTGACGATAAAGGTCGGTATTGATATGACTGTTGCAGAGAGTTGGCTTGGATGAGTGACACGTGTCTTCATGGACGGCCATAGATGGCGACCTTTGGCCTCTTGTCTTTTTCACCTATAAATACTGTTGTTCACGTTTTCATTTTTCACTTTTACCCACTGTAAAATCCAAATTCTGTGAGATCGGGCTAGAGAAAAATACTTTGGAACTTCTCACGTCATCGGGAAACTCCAGGTAAGGCTCGAGACTCCAAGTTATTTCATAAGTTAGGATTTAAGTTCTTTGAGTAATGTCGAGTAGTGAGGGTTGTGATCTATCCAGCAGCTTGAGTAGTAGCGAGGATGTAGGTACTTCGATAATACCAACAGCTATTTCCCTAGAGGCTACACTAGAGGCTCAGGTTAATATGATCTTCGATTATCCCGATGAGCGCTGTAAGCTAAAAGAGCATTTAGCTATTGCTGCGGCTAGGGAATATGGCCTTATGCCTATTTGTGATGTGAGATCCCCCGGCCCCGAGGATAGAATTGTTCGATCTCGACGAAGGGAGTTTGTCATTTTTAGGGAAACCCTTAAGGCCGGCTTTAGGTGGCCTCTTCACCATTTTTTTATCGCTTTATTGGTCGAGCACTCCATGTGCCAGGGTGAATTAATGCCCAATGCTTGGAGAATACTCATGTATTTCTTTATAACTTTTAGGTACTTAGATATCGAGCCCAATGTTGACCTTTGTAAAAATGGTTTTTGAGCTTAAGAAGTATCCTCGGTATACTTGTTTTGGTTATCTCTCGACGATATGAGGGTTTAAGGTCCCGAGGATTGCGAGTTCTCTAAAGGGGTGGAGGGAGGGGTTGTTTTATGTTATTGCTCAAGAACTTGACCTTTCTTTCTGGCCTGATTGGGAATTCCCTAAGCCGAGAAGTTCTGTGAGGACCGGGTGTATCCAGATGTGTTGGAAGATCATAGGAGGATGCTAGTGGGGCTCAACCCCCTTTTCTTGACAATGAAGGAGATTGGGGAAGAGGTGATAGACCTGGCATATACTAGAAGCGTCGAGGGTAGGGTTGTTCTCTTGTTTTTACAAAACAGTTTGATCTTGTGCTCGTTCTAAAGTGTTTGCATTTTTTGTTCTTGCAGGTATGTTGTTTGATCCTCAAGCCCTCCGCAATTTTGTTAACACAAGGGCTGATGCCCGTCCACAGGGCCAGCTTCCGGTGAAGAAGAAGAGTAAGAAGAGGCCTCGAGGGACCCCACTCGAGCACAACAAGAGGGGGCCTGGCGAAACTTCTCGAGCTTAGCCTCCATGCTCTAGCTCGGTGCAGTCGAGTCAAAGATCTCCTACTTCTCGAGTCGTTACTCTTCAACCTCCTTTCGAGGTGGTCGATCTCGAGGATGACACTTGTAATACTCCGAATTTTGTGCTCATTTAATTTTTAGAATAGCAATTCAACTTTTCAAAATTTGGTATGACCAAAAAATTATTTATGGTTGCCAAATTTAAGCATGAGGTGACTAACTAATGCATGAGGTATTTTAAATTTAAGCATGTGGTGGCTAAGGCATGCATGAGGTGTTTTAGCTTAAGCATGTGGTGGCTAAAGCATGCATGAGGTGTTTTAACTTAAGCATGTGGTGGCTAAAGGCATGCATAGGTGTTTAATTGAAGTTAAGATTTTCTTTCATGCTGCCCACGTGTAGAATTGGTTGAAGAGTCACCCAAAATTTATCATTTTTCTCACCTATAAATAGATGTATTGCTGCCCTTTATTTCCCTTGCATGAAAAACAACTTAACACTTGTTTATAAAAGGGCAGAAAACGTGAGGGAAGAAGAGGACCAGCCTAGCAATTCTCAATTCATTTTCAATCAAGATTTCTTCAAGTTTTATTGTAAGATACTTTCTATGCTTAAGTGGTATGATTTCATGGTAATATTTATGCTTAAGCTATGCATGAAAAACCATAATATGAATGTGTTGGACAAGTCCACAAAGTTAGATATCTATTTATGCCATAGGACAAGTCCGAAGGGCACCGGCAAGCCGGAATATGCAAGTATGTGTTTGATTGCATTTTTTTGTGTTGTATTAACATGTTAAAATCCAAGCATGGTATCTTACTGATTATTCTTTATACTCATAGTGTTCTATACTAAATTCTCAGATTCATAATTGCGGAGTTGGTGGAAGTCAGTCGGCATAATCGATGATGGGTTAGGGACAAGGTTGTTTTGCATCGAAGTTTTGTTTTTGCATGTTTTGTTCGACTATTTTCCATATGTTTTCTTATGGTATTGTATAAAAACATGTATGAGATATGATGTAATATGGTACCGAAAGTAAATTATGCAATTATATCTTCTATGTTGTGTTAAGAGACTTTTTTTTAAAAACTTCTCCTTGCAAGTGACAAAAGGCAGAAACAGGATAGTTTTTGGGTCAACTTCAACACGTTATCTTTGACTCCATAATCATCCATTTGAGACTCTGAAAATATTACTACGTTCCTCATTGAGTTTTCTTAATATGGGCACAAGAATCACTCAATTTGGATATCTGTAGCCTAAGATATGAATTTTTAAACATTGAAGGGTCAAATCTGAAATTTCTGTGCAATACCTCATTGTTTTTCAGTAAAACGCCCATATTATATGATCTTGGAAATTTTTATATTTTAACCTAGAAAACTACTTGAAAATATCTTTCTAATTTCATAAATTTCATAGAAAATGGAGTTGGGATGAATTTTATAAAAATAGTCGAACTTGCTGTCCCAACTAACCGTGGCAATGCAGAGTCCGTATATGTAAAGTATAATTTCTTGTCGACATGCGCTTCTGCAGGCCATTAAAATTTATGAGAGACATTTTACCAAACTGAAAATAAGTTTCTAACATGTAATACTTCTATTTAAGAGTATTTACATGTACCAAAGGCAGAAGTTATTATGTTTAGTATGTGACCCTCGAAACTTAAGTTCGGGGCGTCACAACACTGTTCCTCTAGTGAATTTCCTTACTGAGGACTTCGAACGTTGCCACCTCATTCCCGGTCTTGTTTCCAAATACAAGGATGAGGTAAAGCTTGAGGACAGGATGAAGGTCCTTGAACTCCTCACTATGAAGGTAATCCTCGAACATTTGACTTTAAGCTTTCAACTTCTTCCTCGAGATTAATACTCTTTTATTTCTCTTTCAGACATTGAGTATAGCTCGAGGACTCTCTCTTCAAGGAATCGAGGAGGCCAAGAGAGCGGCCGGGGTGGAGACCTCAATGGCTTCTAACGACAGGAGGATCCTTGAGCTCGAGGCCAAGGTCGAGGCTTTGTTGAAAGAGTGTGATGATGCAAAGAGGGAGGCTGCGAAAGCCCGGGATGACCTTGGTGCTGCAAAGGACGAGGCCGAGGATGCGAGACTCGAACTTCTGCAAAAGACAAAAGAGTTCGAGGGCAAGCTCGTGGAGGTTAAGGAGAAGGTCTTGGAAGAGTTCAAAACCTCTGAGGACTGTGACAAGATTAAGGACGAGTATGCGTCGGGGGCGTACTTCCATGCTCTCAAGGAGGCCCAGGCCTTCCTCTGTGCGAAATTACCCGACGTTACCTAAGATGACCTAAAGACAGTGCCTTCTATCATTGATACTTTGGAGCTCTCAGGATCGGAAGATGGAGGAGCAGGTGGGGACGACGACCGAGAAGACCTTAAGGATGATGACGTGCAGATTGACATCAATAGCCTCGACCCTCCCCTTGGTCAAATAGAATAGTGTCCCCACCTCGATCTATTGTTTGTAATTTTTGGACAAGTTTTTTGCTCGACGATTGTAAAACATTTTTGCTAGTGAATGAACATTCCTTTGTGTATAATCTGTCAATTTTGTCATGCCGATCTCGAGCAATTTGACATACTTGAGGCCATACACATCTCGAGCAAAACTTTATAAAAGATGTAATTTCGCATGTGATGCCCTCGAGTTATGATTCTCGAGCATCTGGTTTTGAGGCATTGCCTTTCCCATAATCTCAAGCGTAAAAAAATCTTTAACTTCTAGAGACATCCTCGAGCACATTACTCGTATGTATCGTTTTGAAGATTTGGGGAAGCCATGTGGCTGACCAGATCCAAGGGGCATGCAGGGTCGCGCTGCGTGTGTATCTTGACAACATAGAGTTGGATCATGTCATGAGGACTCCAGTGATCGAAGACATGGAGTGAAATCGTATCTCGAGGACACAGATTCAGGCCATATCTCGAGGACTCTGAGGATGTTAACTCTCGAGCCTTGTCAGCCGAAGCTTTGTAGATCTAGGTGTTGATGTGTTCGGGCATATCGCGTTGCTCAGGATTTTCTCTTGGTGGTATTTTATGAATAAAAGTGGACAAGGCAAGGATTTGAGTACTTGCACGGGGTAAGACTTTGTGTGCTTGCGCAAGGCAGGGCTTTGCGGTGCTTGCACGGGGCAAGGCTTTTAGTGCTTGCGCGTGGCAAGGCTTTATGTGCTTACGAGAGGCAAGACTTTGAGGTGCTTGCACGTGGAAAGGCTTTTTGTTGCTTGCTCGGGGCAAGGCTCTGTGTGCTTGCGCGAGGCAAGACTTTTAGTGCTTGCATGGGGCAAGGCTTTGTGTGCTTGCTCAGGGCAAGGCTTTGATTTGTAGTGATCATATCATCGAATTTAACTTTGACTGTAATATAACTCTATAAATGGACTTGGCATACAGCCCTTGTGATAAAAAAGAAAAATGATTTGGCACGCAAGCCTTATAAACGATAAAAAAATAGACTTGGCACGTAGGCCTTATTTCTAAAACATGGTTAAGCAAGTTACTTGTAATATACCTTTAAGTTTTCGGCGTTCCACGATCTTGGGAGTGGTCTTCCCGAAGTATCTTTTAAACTGTATACACCTCCTAGGAGCTATCATATGACTTCAAAAGGCTCTTCCCGAATGGGTCTGAGTTTTCCCGGAGCATGACCAGTGGTTTCAGCCCTTCTCAACACTAAATCTCCAGCTTGAATCTTCGCGGCCTTACCCTTCTACTGAAATACTTTGTTGTTCTGTCTTGGTAAGAGACTATTCTTAAGGCTGCTTGATCATGAACTTTTTCCAAGAGGTCGAGATGTTCAGTGGTGTGCCCTGTTTCTTCGAGATTAAGTCTTCTTTGGCAGGGTAATCTTTTTTCAATGGAAATGGTGGCTTCGATTCCAAAAGATAACATGAAGGGGATCTCCCCGGTGGTGGTCCTGTAGGATGTTCTATATGTCCAAAGTATGGAAGGCAACTTGTCGGACCAAGATCTCCAATCCTTGTTCGGAGGTCTTGCAATATAATTCGATTGGTTACCTCGGCTAGAGCATTCTTTGGGGATGAGAAACTGACGTCGAGCGGTGGTTAATCCCTAGGTTGGAACAGAAATCCTTGAATTATGCATTGTCAAATTGCCGGCCGTTATCAGTTATGAGGACCTTTGGTATCCCAAACCTGCATATGATGGACCTCCAAACAAAAGTTCTTATCTTCGGTTCTAAGATCGTTGCCAAGGGCTCGGCCTCCACCCACTTGGTGAAGTACTCAACTGCTACAACTACAAACCTTAATTGTCCCCTAGTTATCGGAAACGGACCAAGGATGTCAATCCCCTATTGCTCGAATGGGGCCAAGCAACTGATGCTGGTGAGGTCCTCTGCGGGATAGCGGATACCATTACCAAACCTCTGGCACTTGTCACACTTCTTCACATATTCTACAGCATCCTTCTTCATGGTAGGCCAGTAATACCCGTACCTTATGAGTTTAAAGGCTAATGCCCGAGCTCTTTGATGGTTCTCGCATACTCTTTCATGAACTTCCTCCAGGGCTTGGGAGGATTCCGAAGGCTTAAGGCACCTAAGGTACAGAAGTGTGAGGCTTCTGAAAAATAAGACCACATTAATAATGCAATACCTTGGAGCTTTTGATCGGACGTTCCTTGCTGCTCGAGGATCTTCTGAAAGATTGCCATTTGTTATGAAATTCACAATTGGGTCCATCCATGATAGCTCATGATCAATGTCCATGACCCCAACGATTAGATTGATCTAGGCTCGGTCACAAATCTGACATGTACTATCCTGTCAAGTCCATCTACTCCCATCTTGAGACTTTTTACATTCTTCCGAGGATAAAGAAAGCGATGAAAGAACCAAAATAAGATATTAATTCTGCATGAACAAGGGTGTCCGTGTTCGTATTGGTCTCAAAATTCCCTTTGCTCTCAATATTCTCTTCTCCTCCATTTTCAGCAACCTTGTTCACTACAGATTCTGACATTTCTTTTGCAACAGCATTACAGCAGCAGTCTTTGGAGATTAGTATATAAGATTCACAAGAAAATGCAGAATTTCTAAACATATGAGGGCATGGCTATGATTTCTCTTGGTATGTTTGGCTCGCTTAAAATTTAAAAGCATGCTTTTCAACTTCCTCTTTGGCCCCCAAATGAGCAGCCAAAAGGTGCTTTTACGTATACCAAGTTTAAAAGAAAACGAGGTTTTCAGGAAGATACAATTAAATTCAATAAATTTAGACGCGATCCATATTTGGTCCAAGTCTGACGAGTTCTAACTTGTTCTACTCATAATTATAATATAGGAAAAGAATCTACTTACCTTTGATCAAGTGTAGCTATCATAAAAAAAAAAAAAAAAAAATTTATAGAGAGTTTCTACTTGTTCTTTCACGATTCGGGTTTTGGAATAGAAAAAGCTCTCTTATCAATCGAATTACTATTTCAGACTCAATCATGTCACAGAAGTAAAAAGATAGATAAGAAAAAGAAAGAACTGGATTAATCAGAAAGGTTTGGAAAACAGAATGTATGAGTGAATAATTATATTTCATCCGTATATTAGTTCAATGACTTGAGATTAATATGGTTAGCCGTTTAATCAGTTTCTGGCAATGAGGAATGCTATTAGTACATCATTGTATACATAGTATAGTAATTTTTGTGAGTGGGGGACGAGAGGGTAGGGGAGGTACCAATCCTTAAACTGTAGACCTCAGTTGCAGAAGTTATCTTGCTCTATTTAGAGCATGAAAACGGGACTAGTAGTTCTGAAGAATTAAGCTGCATGGAACTTAAAATTGAGATTACAAAGATGTTGTCTTGAGTGCGTTTCAGAGATGTAAATGAGACTAGTATTGGCGTCTGTGTCGCGAATAAATTTGGAAACTTTATTTTGTAAACTCGTACTGTCGTCTACTTCACAATGGAGTGAATGACCCAGATGCAACATATATGGCAAGAATATGACATCAAAAGAAGAAAAGATAACAACTAGATAGAGAATGCATCCAAGTCAATCCCATATTTTATGAGTAATTATATATAATTGAAAAGGCTTAAAATAGTACAAAATTGTCAAAAAGCAACAAGAAATAGTTCAGAATAAGAGATCATGTAAAAAGGCAACAAACTTTGGATTGTTTCATGTACAATTTTGAGGTCTTGCCTTTCTATTGTGAATCATTGTCCTGTTACCTAAATTATCCTATACTATACCAGATACTACATAAGAAAATGCTTGCAGTTATCTGATGAAACTAAAAGAATAGTGTGGAAGTTGGTTCATGTTTCTGTATCAATTTTTTTTATTACAGATTCCTAGGAGAGCTCAGAATCAGAGACATGACCGGATGTTCTCCATGGCTTTGGACTTGTTAACATTAGCTGACTTTCGGAATTCATTCTCATACTGCGTCCACGAGGTGTTATTTGTGGAGGCCGTACTGATCTTTCCTTTGGTGTCCCTGCAAAACAGCCGTGATAATATTGTTAGTTCATTGGATGTTTTTCTTTTCATTGTCTCAATAGTGCTTTCAAATAAAATTTAAAACGGATAAGCATAAATATGACCATGGTTAACATGCTAGACTACATTTAACTTTAATAATTTTAAGTATGTCAGGTCCTGCAGTTTTCAGAGTAGAATTCTTCTGAATTTGCAGAAATATATGTGCCTATTCTCAGGATTTTATGGTCTTGGAAAGGACAAACATTTTGAATTTGCAAATCTTGAATCAATGCTAGCTAACACTAGGCAATGGCATTTTCAATCACGTGATTTTGTCCTTCGCTAAGTTCTCATTGCTAAGTGTCTATCCTAACAAAAATTACGCAATACTATGTAAAAGATTTCAAAGTCAATAGATAACCTGGCAGTTTCTTGGCTTTGACGCTTAGCGATTTCTTTGATAATGAAAGTTTCTTGTTTGACATGTCGGGAGAGGATAAGCATTTCTTTACAGTTGGTCTTGGTGATCGTGCTGGTGATGGTAATGGATCGTCTGCTATTACATTATCATCCCCACAGGCTGAAGCTCCATCACTTCCTGATTCGGAGGTATCTCTCTGATTTGTATTCGGTTTTTCCTTCTCAATCACTCTGTAAGCAAACATCTGAAATGGGATTTGTGATACAGGCAAAAGATTGGACTTTCCCATATAAGGAAAGCTTCTTATGATCTCTGCCTCAATATCGCTGAAATCTACTGGTGGCATTGGTGGATTTGGCTGGCTGTGTTCAGGGTTCATAACTAAGAAACGCTTAATGTATCGAAGAATTCTACAGATAGATGAGAAACTCGGCCTTTGATTGGGATCCGAGTGCCAACATTTCTTTGTTAAGCTTGCTACATATTTAGGTGAATGGAATGGGAAAAGTGGCCTCTCTCCTGCCCTAATGTTTCGGCTCATTTTATCGCCTTGAAGATGGCTATCTTCAAATGGGACCTTGCCCGTTAAAAGCTCGAAGCAGATCATCCCAAAGCTGTAAACATCTGACTTATCGTTATACTTCAAATTTCCTCCCTCAATGCTCAACTCTTCTTGTTCTGTTAGCACTTCTGGTGCATACCAAATAAAAGAAAGTTGTCCACTAGGACTTTTGGGGGCTTTTTGTGTGAGACTAATAGAGGATGATAGACCAAAACCCGACACTTTAGCATGTAAATCCCCGTTTTTACTAACATTCCTGGCTTTTATAAGAATATTAGAAGGGTTTAAATTTCCATGATAGATTTTTTTCGAGTGGAGATATTCCATTCCTCTTGCTATCTGCAGCATAAGATCAACAGCAACTGGAAGTGAAAATGGAATTCTCTTTCTTGGACCACAGAGTTCCTTAATGTAACTGGATAGATCTCTCTCCATGAGTTCCATTACCAAGAAACATTCTTTCTTTTCCTCGTCTGAAAACCCACAAAGGACATGCATTATATTTGAATGACACAGACATGATTCCTTAGAAATCTCGGGTATCAGTACCTTAATGTCCCCAAAAAAGTGTCTTAAAGCGAAGGTTTCACCTAACCACTGAATCTCCTTATACTGGCTCCCATTTCCCAAACGTCGTCTCACTTGATAATCCTTTGAACTTACCAAAGTTTCAAAAGGTAAAAGTACATCATCCATTGTCTCTGAACCATATAAATTCTTCAAAAAAATATCAGCAAGTTTCTGATCATTCTTCGAACTTAATCCACCCAACTTCTTCTTTTCTTGAATTTTCTTGAGTAGAAACCATCCATCTTCGTCCCATTGCATGTTTTGTTCGACTATTTTCCATATGTTTTCTTATGGTATTGTATAAAAACATGTATGAGATATGATGTAATATGGTACCGAAAGTAAATTATGCAATTATATCTTCTATGTTGTGTTAAGAGACTTTTTTTTAAAAACTTCTCCTTGCAAGTGACAAAAGGCAGAAACAGGATAGTTTTTGGGTCAACTTCAACACGTTATCTTTGACTCCATAATCATCCATTTGAGACTCTGAAAATATTACTACGTTCCTCATTGAGTTTTCTTAATATGGGCACAAGAATCACTCAATTTGGATATCTGTAGCCTAAGATATGAATTTTTAAACATTGAAGGGTCAAATCTGAAATTTCTGTGCAATACCTCATTGTTTTTCAGTAAAACGCCCATATTATATGATCTTGGAAATTTTTATATTTTAACCTAGAAAACTACTTGAAAATATCTTTCTAATTTCATAAATTTCATAGAAAATGGAGTTGGGATGAATTTTATAAAAATAGTCGAACTTGCTGTCCCAACTAACCGTGGCAATGCAGAGTCCGTATATGTAAAGTATAATTTCTTGTCGACATGCGCTTCTGCAGGCCATTAAAATTTATGAGAGACATTTTACCAAACTGAAAATAAGTTTCTAACATGTAATACTTCTATTTAAGAGTATTTACATGTACCAAAGGCAGAAGTTATTATGTTTAGTATGTGACCCTCGAAACTTAAGTTCGGGGCGTCACAACACTGTTCCTCTAGTGAATTTCCTTACTGAGGACTTCGAACGTTGCCACCTCATTCCCGGTCTTGTTTCCAAATACAAGGATGAGGTAAAGCTTGAGGACAGGATGAAGGTCCTTGAACTCCTCACTATGAAGGTAATCCTCGAACATTTGACTTTAAGCTTTCAACTTCTTCCTCGAGATTAATACTCTTTTATTTCTCTTTCAGACATTGAGTATAGCTCGAGGACTCTCTCTTCAAGGAATCGAGGAGGCCAAGAGAGCGGCCGGGGTGGAGACCTCAATGGCTTCTAACGACAGGAGGATCCTTGAGCTCGAGGCCAAGGTCGAGGCTTTGTTGAAAGAGTGTGATGATGCAAAGAGGGAGGCTGCGAAAGCCCGGGATGACCTTGGTGCTGCAAAGGACGAGGCCGAGGATGCGAGACTCGAACTTCTGCAAAAGACAAAAGAGTTCGAGGGCAAGCTCGTGGAGGTTAAGGAGAAGGTCTTGGAAGAGTTCAAAACCTCTGAGGACTGTGACAAGATTAAGGACGAGTATGCGTCGGGGGCGTACTTCCATGCTCTCAAGGAGGCCCAGGCCTTCCTCTGTGCGAAATTACCCGACGTTACCTAAGATGACCTAAAGACAGTGCCTTCTATCATTGATACTTTGGAGCTCTCAGGATCGGAAGATGGAGGAGCAGGTGGGGACGACGACCGAGAAGACCTTAAGGATGATGACGTGCAGATTGACATCAATAGCCTCGACCCTCCCCTTGGTCAAATAGAATAGTGTCCCCACCTCGATCTATTGTTTGTAATTTTTGGACAAGTTTTTTGCTCGACGATTGTAAAACATTTTTGCTAGTGAATGAACATTCCTTTGTGTATAATCTGTCAATTTTGTCATGCCGATCTCGAGCAATTTGACATACTTGAGGCCATACACATCTCGAGCAAAACTTTATAAAAGATGTAATTTCGCATGTGATGCCCTCGAGTTATGATTCTCGAGCATCTGGTTTTGAGGCATTGCCTTTCCCATAATCTCAAGCGTAAAAAAATCTTTAACTTCTAGAGACATCCTCGAGCACATTACTCGTATGTATCGTTTTGAAGATTTGGGGAAGCCATGTGGCTGACCAGATCCAAGGGGCATGCAGGGTCGCGCTGCGTGTGTATCTTGACAACATAGAGTTGGATCATGTCATGAGGACTCCAGTGATCGAAGACATGGAGTGAAATCGTATCTCGAGGACACAGATTCAGGCCATATCTCGAGGACTCTGAGGATGTTAACTCTCGAGCCTTGTCAGCCGAAGCTTTGTAGATCTAGGTGTTGATGTGTTCGGGCATATCGCGTTGCTCAGGATTTTCTCTTGGTGGTATTTTATGAATAAAAGTGGACAAGGCAAGGATTTGAGTACTTGCACGGGGTAAGACTTTGTGTGCTTGCGCAAGGCAGGGCTTTGCGGTGCTTGCACGGGGCAAGGCTTTTAGTGCTTGCGCGTGGCAAGGCTTTATGTGCTTACGAGAGGCAAGACTTTGAGGTGCTTGCACGTGGAAAGGCTTTTTGTTGCTTGCTCGGGGCAAGGCTCTGTGTGCTTGCGCGAGGCAAGACTTTTAGTGCTTGCATGGGGCAAGGCTTTGTGTGCTTGCTCAGGGCAAGGCTTTGATTTGTAGTGATCATATCATCGAATTTAACTTTGACTGTAATATAACTCTATAAATGGACTTGGCATACAGCCCTTGTGATAAAAAAGAAAAATGATTTGGCACGCAAGCCTTATAAACGATAAAAAAATAGACTTGGCACGTAGGCCTTATTTCTAAAACATGGTTAAGCAAGTTACTTGTAATATACCTTTAAGTTTTCGGCGTTCCACGATCTTGGGAGTGGTCTTCCCGAAGTATCTTTTAAACTGTATACACCTCCTAGGAGCTATCATATGACTTCAAAAGGCTCTTCCCGAATGGGTCTGAGTTTTCCCGGAGCATGACCAGTGGTTTCAGCCCTTCTCAACACTAAATCTCCAGCTTGAATCTTCGCGGCCTTACCCTTCTACTGAAATACTTTGTTGTTCTGTCTTGGTAAGAGACTATTCTTAAGGCTGCTTGATCATGAACTTTTTCCAAGAGGTCGAGATGTTCAGTGGTGTGCCCTGTTTCTTCGAGATTAAGTCTTCTTTGGCAGGGTAATCTTTTTTCAATGGAAATGGTGGCTTCGATTCCAAAAGATAACATGAAGGGGATCTCCCCGGTGGTGGTCCTGTAGGATGTTCTATATGTCCAAAGTATGGAAGGCAACTTGTCGGACCAAGATCTCCAATCCTTGTTCGGAGGTCTTGCAATATAATTCGATTGGTTACCTCGGCTAGAGCATTCTTTGGGGATGAGAAACTGACGTCGAGCGGTGGTTAATCCCTAGGTTGGAACAGAAATCCTTGAATTATGCATTGTCAAATTGCCGGCCGTTATCAGTTATGAGGACCTTTGGTATCCCAAACCTGCATATGATGGACCTCCAAACAAAAGTTCTTATCTTCGGTTCTAAGATCGTTGCCAAGGGCTCGGCCTCCACCCACTTGGTGAAGTACTCAACTGCTACAACTACAAACCTTAATTGTCCCCTAGTTATCGGAAACGGACCAAGGATGTCAATCCCCTATTGCTCGAATGGGGCCAAGCAACTGATGCTGGTGAGGTCCTCTGCGGGATAGCGGATACCATTACCAAACCTCTGGCACTTGTCACACTTCTTCACATATTCTACAGCATCCTTCTTCATGGTAGGCCAGTAATACCCGTACCTTATGAGTTTAAAGGCTAATGCCCGAGCTCTTTGATGGTTCTCGCATACTCTTTCATGAACTTCCTCCAGGGCTTGGGAGGATTCCGAAGGCTTAAGGCACCTAAGGTACAGAAGTGTGAGGCTTCTGAAAAATAAGACCACATTAATAATGCAATACCTTGGAGCTTTTGATCGGACGTTCCTTGCTGCTCGAGGATCTTCTGAAAGATTGCCATTTGTTATGAAATTCACAATTGGGTCCATCCATGATAGCTCATGATCAATGTCCATGACCCCAACGATTAGATTGATCTAGGCTCGGTCACAAATCTGACATGTACTATCCTGTCAAGTCCATCTACTCCCATAAACATCAGTCTTGATAAGGCATCTGCCTTGCAGTTGTCAGCCCAGGGAATTTTCACAATTTCACACCTCTTCAATTTTCGTTGGAGATCATGAACTTTTAAGCAGTATAAGCTCATTTTTTCGTCTTTCTTCTCGAACGTACTGTCAATCTGGCCAACCACTAACTGGAAATCACTGAAAATTTTGATGCTTTCAAGTTCGAGACTAATGGCAAGTTCCATGGCTATGATGACAGGCTCATACTCTACTTCGTTATTGGTTGTCTCAAATTCGAACCTGAGTGCACACTGAATATCCATGAGCATGTCCGGGCACGTGATGATGACCCTGGCACCCGAGCCTGAGGAGTTTGATGCTCCACCCACGAAAATTTGCCAAACATCTATTGTAGTGCTCAAGCTATCATTTGGCCCCCGACGTCTAGGGGTGAGTTCTGCAATGAAATCTGCTAAGGCTTGGGCTTTGATGGACGGATGGGGTTTGAACGCTATATCAAACTCTCCAAGTTCAATTGCCCACTTTAGTAACCTGCCCGAGACGTCTAGCTTTTGAAGGATATGTTTCAGAGACTGGTTAGTGAGTACCACAATGGGATGAGACTGAAAATATTGTCGAAACTTTCTTGCTACCACTATTAGAGCAAGGGCAAGGACAAGTTGTTCAGCCAAAGTGTACCTGGTCTCTGCATCAAGTAGAACTTCACTCACATAGTAAATGGGTTGCTGGGCTTTGTTGACTTCTTTCTCCAAGACGACGTTCACTGCATTTTGAGACACGGCTAAGTACAATAACAAAGTATCCCCGAGCTCCGATTTAGTGAGGATAGGAGAAGACGCCAATATCTGTTTGAGCTCCTGAAAATCCTTTTCACACTCCTCATTCCATTCAAAGAATTGGCTGCCTCTAAGAACTTTAAAGAAAGGGAAGCACCCGTCCGCTGCTCAGGACATGATCCTGTTCAGGGCTGCTACCTTACCTGTCAATTTTTGCACCTCTTTCTTAGTCCTGGGTGATTCCATTGCTACCAAGGCCTAGATCTTATCGAGGTTTGCTTCTATCCCCCAGTGAGCGATCATGAAACCCAAAAAAATTTTCAAAGCGATACCGAATACACACTTCTCTGGGTTGAGCTTCATTCGATATTTTCATAGGGTGGCAAACACCTCCTCCAGGTCGGATATGTGCTGCTCTACCTTCCTGCTTTTCACCACCATGTCGTCAACATAGGCCTCGATGTTCTTCCCTATCAAATCAGCGAAGACTTTGTTGATGAGCCTCTAATACGTTGCTCCGACATTTTTCAACCGAAACGACATCATCCTATAGCAGTATATGGCCGAATCAGCCATGAATAAAGTCTTCTCTTGGTTTTCCTCGACCATGAGGATTTGATGATACCCTAAGAATGCATCTAAGAAACTGTACAACTTATGTCTGGATGTGCTATCCAAAAGATTGTGTATTCTGGGGAGCGGGTAACTGTCTTTAGGGCATGCCTTATTGAAATCTATAAAGTCGATGCAGACCCTCCATTTACCACTAGGCTTCTTCACAAGAACAACGTTAGCTAGCCAGTCAAGGTATTGGACTTCCCTTATGAACCCCGCTCCCACCAGTTTGCGGACCTCTTCCTGAATGACCACACGTCTTTCTGGCGCAAACTGTCTCTTCCTTTGCTTAACAGCTTTGGCCCTTGGGCTTATGTTGAGTCTATGGACTGCTACTTCAGGGTCTATCCCTGGCATATCCTCGACTTTGCATGCAAAAATATCAATGTTGTGGGACAGACAATTGATGACTTCCTCCCAAAGGCTGGCCTTGAGATCCTGAACAATTGTTACCGTTTTTCCATGCTCGAGTTCGACCACTTCCAATTCTTCAATCGAGGCAAGTCTATCCCTTGGCTCGATCTCGAGCTCGAGGTCTGAAAGTTGCATGACGTCTGTACTCATTCCTCGGATGCTAATAACATAGCATTGTCTGGCAACTGTTTGGTTTCTATGAACTACTCCAATGCCATGACCTGTTGGAAACTTCATGGCTAGGTGGAAAGTTGATACAATGGCTTGGATCTTGTTCAGTAGGGGTCTTCCCAGGATAATGTTGTAAGCTATAGGAGTGTTAACCACTTGGAATGGTGTGATCTCCGTTACTTGTGCAATGTCAGAACCCAATGTAAGAGGAAGCTCGACGATGCCTTCCAGGATAATGACTTCACCACCAAATCCTTGTAGAAGAGTTTTTACTGCTTTGAGCTGTTGGGAGAGATCACCATTTTAGGGAAAGCTTCCTGTGAGAGTATGTTTGCTACACTCCCATTATCAACCAGAATCTTCTTTACTTCAAAGTTAACCACAATTGCAGAGACGACCAAGGCATCGTCATGAGGATATGGTACTCCTTCCAAATCTCTTGCCCCAAAAGTAATGTCTGTGAGTTTATCATGAGATTTCCTTGAGGTATAAGCGTGTTGGCGAGCATATTGCTTTCGTCCACTACTTGTGTCTCTTCCAAATACTATGCCTCCAATGATAATATTAATGGTCCCGGCAGTAGGTTGAGCACTGCTTCCGGCTCCAGGCTCTTTCCGATTGTCACGGTCATTCTTCGAGCGTTTATCATGACCAATGTAATTTCTTAAGAGCCCTTTTTTTATTAGGGCTTCAATTTTCGCTGTAAGGCTTGACAATCCTCCATGGTATGCCCATGATCTCGGTGAGATTCACAATACTTGCTCCTATCTCTTGTGTCAGGGGGTGACTTCATCCTTGAAGGCCACTTCAACTCTTTCATATCCTTGATCTCCATCAAAATGTTTTCCTTGGTTGTGTTCAACTGGGTGAGAGGCTTTGACGGCCCTTCATTCTTGTGCTTGTCCCGAGGATGCTCGGGTCGGGAGATGACGTTATGTTGTCTCTTGTTCTCGGCCTTTTCATAAGAAGGACCAGGTCTCATTGGATTCAGCATTTATTCCATATTAATATATTTTTCAGCTGTGTAAGGAGCTCGATCACTGTCTGCAGCGGGGTCTTTGATAGGAACATTTTGAAGGCTTCATATCTTATGGCATAGGTGAGGATGGAAACTACCGTCGTAATGTGAAGGTCAGGTATTTGAAGTCTTTCCTTGTTAAACCTCGTCATAAATCCTCGTAGGGTTTTACTTGCTCCCTGGCAAAGTTGCATGAGAGAGGTCGCGGTCTTTCTGATACGCTTGCTACTTGCAAAGAAGCTTGAGAACTTATCAGCCAAATCTGAGAATGAGGCTATGGAGTTGGGCTCCAATGTCGAGAACCAATCTCTAGCAGCATTAGTCAGTGTTTGCGGGAGGCTTTGCACATAACTTGATGCGGCGCAACTTGCAAATTCATGACATCAGTATATACATTGAGATGATTGATTGGATCGATCGTCCCATCATACTCTTTAATGCGAGGATATTTGAATCTGTTGGGTAGGAGATATGACAATATCTTCGGTGTGAATGGAGTGTTAGGAAAACCCGTTGGCCCCCGAGCATTCCGTTGCAGGCCAGCTATAATTCCTTTTTGAATGATCCATGCAATCTCTACGAAATCCATAGCAACCGATCTCGAGCCTGAGGCCATGTTAAGAATACCCGAGGTCCCTACTCCGTCAGTTGCGGGGTTTGGTGCTTGGGCTCGAGCATCAGCCATAAAACCACCATGCTCTACTTGCACTGGTAACGGATGCGAATTTCTTTGACTTAACAGCTACGTTATCATGGCCACCTACTGACGGAGCTCTTCAAAAGCTTCAGTTGTGACGACCGCCGACTGGGGTACGGGCACTCTTGACGACTCTTCTTGAGAAGCCGGTCGATCTTTAGCAGGATGAGTGATGGGAACGGATGAGCTTGCGAGAAGAAGACATGATCGTGTGTTAACCATGACTTTTGGTAGCGCTTCCTACAGACGTCGCCAATGATGCTACCAAAAATCTTACCTGTTGATTTCCCGAGCGTGAGGAGTTTGAATGAGCACGATCGTAGTCTTCCGGTACCTGAAACAAAGGCAACGAAGTATGTTCTCGTCGCCCCTCCGATGCTTAAGTTAGAAAGGAAATTATGTGCGTGAGGCTATAAACTGAGAATAATGAGAACGTACCTGAATAATGTCCAATGATGGTATTTATAGGGGTAGGTAGTACATTCCTGATAGGATTGGAATGGGGTGAACGTTCTTATCTGATAAAGTCCTGTTTGTAAGGATTGTCCTACTCGTAATGGAACTGTTTGACTGGTGGTGTTAGAGTTGATATAGAGTCCTTGGGGGTTTAGGTGTCTGTTCGTCGGCCATATATTTATCTCGAGGACCTCTCAATGGACACTGACCTGAGGACATATTCTCGAGGAAGTAAGAGGTGAGTTTCCATGGTCATGTGAGCAATCCTTGAGGATTGAAACAATCCTCAAGGACTAACATATCTCGAGGACGTCTTGGCAGAAAAGTGAGGTGGAACATGTAGGCAGTCCTCAAGGAAAAAGTCCTCGGGTGTGCAATATTGGTACCATCAGTATTGGACGAGGTTCCACAGATAAGTTGTAAGTCTTCCATTTATCAAAATTCAGATGCAAAATGGCCTACAGTACACCACCCTTTTCTTGATCTCCCGTTAATTTCTCTACCTAAAAGAATTTTTTATTTGTTATTATTATTATTATTATTATTTTTGGAGGAAGACAAGATGTTCTTTCTAATCCAGTTATTGTCAATTTCTTGACCTAAAAGTAATTTCTAGCGAGGAAGAATTGTTGAATCTATAGTTGCTGGTTGTCTCGATTCAGTTCTAACAACGCATTTCTCTTGAGCTAAGAAGTAAAACTCTTGTTGTAAATAATAAATACTTCATATTGTACATTCATGGAGCTGTATTCAGTATTTCTCAAAAATATGATCTTTTGAAATTTATAATTTTGCTCGATTAGAATATTAACTATTGATTATGTGTAGAGTTTGGTAATACTTTCTGAATATTTGAAATAATTGTCACAATGCATGACTTGTAGAGAAGGATGAATGCTAAATTAGATTAATACATCATGCTTCTTGTCTTGTAATTTGATAGTACTCTCTTGCCATCATCATAAAAGACTAGGTCCTAGATTATTAAAATCCCATTATGAATTATAGTGACATAATTTAGTCGAAATCACAAAATGTATGCTCTCGAGATCCTTAGATATGTAACATTATTGTTTAAGTAATCAACTAGATAACTTATTTGCATAATACGGTCTTGGGTACAATTACTCATATTTGAGGTTTGTGTTAGTGGAGATGGTGGTGATGGAGACTTGATGATGATGGAGGCAATGGTTGTTCAAATTTGATGTTCGTGAAGGTAATGGTAAAGCTAATGGTGCACATCTAGTAATCAAGATAGTTTATAGCAATCAAGAACGCTTTGAAAATTTTGACCCTAGATGATTAATTATTAAAACATATATTTTTTTAATATAAACTTAATTTAAACATTAAAATAAATAATATATTTTAATGAAAACTCTGCAAAATCTAAAAGATAGAGAAGCAAATTAATTCTCACAATCTAAAAGATTGGACTAGCATAGGGCCTGTTTGATCTATATTAATTCAAAAAAATACATTCTTAAACAGTGATTTGACATCATTTCAACCACACATTCTTTAATAAAATAATATTACACGCAGATAAAAAAAATTTCCTTATTTTTTAACTACACATTTCCCATCAATACACTATTCAAGAATGCATTAGTACCAAAATAATGTGGTTCAAACATCCCCATAATATTTAGTCTTCTCGCATTTTGAGGTGCTAAGTTATTAATCAAACTATTCAAATCAAGTTTTTTTAATATATTATTTTTGATCGAAACTATAGTTAATACATTAAATCTTTCTTGTGACGTAATTGATCGAATATAAAACTCAATCAACTTTAACTTTGAAAAACTTCATTTGACGGAGGTGACAATTGGAATTGCCTCTTTCAAGCATCCTATAGAAATTTTCAAGCTTGGAAGTTGGAATCAGCAACACTAAGTCTATGACTTTCCTATCTAAACCTTAACTGCCCTTTGAAAACCAAATTCAATATTTTTTTATTTATTCATTTGAATACCAAAGTCCCTATTTCTTTCCATTTAACATATGATGATAATTCCCACTTTTTCCTAAATTATCCTATACTATACCAGATACTACATAAGAAAATGCTTGCAGTTATCTGATGAAACTAAAAGAATAGTGTGGAAGTTGGTTCATGTTTCTGTATCAATTTTTTTTATTACAGATTCCTAGGAGAGCTCAGAATCAGAGACATGACCGGATGTTCTCCATGGCTTTGGACTTGTTAACATTAGCTGACTTTCGGAATTCATTCTCATACTGCGTCCACGAGGTGTTATTTGTGGAGGCCGTACTGATCTTTCCTTTGGTGTCCCTGCAAAACAGCCGTGATAATATTGTTAGTTCATTGGATGTTTTTCTTTTCATTGTCTCAATAGTGCTTTCAAATAAAATTTAAAACGGATAAGCATAAATATGACCATGGTTAACATGCTAGACTACATTTAACTTTAATAATTTTAAGTATGTCAGGTCCTGCAGTTTTCAGAGTAGAATTCTTCTGAATTTGCAGAAATATATGTGCCTATTCTCAGGATTTTATGGTCTTGGAAAGGACAAACATTTTGAATTTGCAAATCTTGAATCAATGCTAGCTAACACTAGGCAATGGCATTTTCAATCACGTGATTTTGTCCTTCGCTAAGTTCTCATTGCTAAGTGTCTATCCTAACAAAAATTACGCAATACTATGTAAAAGATTTCAAAGTCAATAGATAACCTGGCAGTTTCTTGGCTTTGACGCTTAGCGATTTCTTTGATAATGAAAGTTTCTTGTTTGACATGTCGGGAGAGGATAAGCATTTCTTTACAGTTGGTCTTGGTGATCGTGCTGGTGATGGTAATGGATCGTCTGCTATTACATTATCATCCCCACAGGCTGAAGCTCCATCACTTCCTGATTCGGAGGTATCTCTCTGATTTGTATTCGGTTTTTCCTTCTCAATCACTCTGTAAGCAAACATCTGAAATGGGATTTGTGATACAGGCAAAAGATTGGACTTTCCCATATAAGGAAAGCTTCTTATGATCTCTGCCTCAATATCGCTGAAATCTACTGGTGGCATTGGTGGATTTGGCTGGCTGTGTTCAGGGTTCATAACTAAGAAACGCTTAATGTATCGAAGAATTCTACAGATAGATGAGAAACTTGGCCTTTGATTGGGATCCGAGTGCCAACATTTCTTTGTTAAGCTTGCTGCATATTTAGGTGAATGGAATGGGAAAAGTGGCCTCTCTCCTGCCCTAATGTTTCGGCTCATTTTATCGCCTTGAAGATGGCTATCTTCAAACGGGACCTTCCCCGTTAAAAGCTCGAAGCAGATCATCCCAAAGCTGTAAACATCTGACTTATCGGTATACTTCAAATTTCCTCCCTCAATGCTCAACTCTTCTTGTTCTGTTAGCACTTCTGGTGCATACCAAATAAAAGAAAGTTGTCCACTAGGACTTTTGGGGGCTTTTTGTGTGAGACTAATAGAGGATGATAGACCAAAACCCGACACTTTAGCATGTAAATCCCCGTTTTTACTAACATTCCTGGCTTTTATAAGAATATTAGAAGGGTTTAAATTTCCATGATAGATTTTTTTCGAGTGGAGATATTCCATTCCTCTTGCTATCTGCAGCATAAGATCAACAGCAACTGGAAGTGAAAATGGAATTCTCTTTCTTGGACCACAGAGTTCCTTAATGTAACTGGATAGATCTCTCTCCATGAGTTCCATTACCAAGAAACATTCTTTCTTTTCCTCGTCTGAAAATCCACAAAGGACGTGCATTATATTTGGATGACACAGACATGATTCCTTAGAAATCTCAGGTATCAGTACCTTAATGTCCCCAAAAAAGTGTCTTAAAGCGAAGGTTTCACCCAACCACTGAATCTCCTTATACTGGCTCCCATTTCCCAAACGTCGTCTCACTTGATAATCCTTTGAACTTACCAAAGTTTCAAAAGGTAAAAGTACATCATCCATTGTCTCTGAACCATATAAATTCTTCAAAAAAATATCAGCAAGTTTCTGATCATTCTTCGAACTTAATCCACCCAACTTCTTCTTTTCTTGAATTTTCTTGAGTAGAAACCATCCATCTTCGTCCCAAGCTGAATCTAACCGATTACAAAAATTTTGAGAAACCAAATACTGTTTTCCAAATTTCCACTGAAAAAGTCTTGGATCGTTCCAATCTTTCTGGTATTTCAATGAATACATAACCTTCTTCTTCTGCATTTCATCTTGATCCACCCCCGATATCTCCCCCGCCATTTCAATTGCTTCAACGACAACCGGAAAACAGGACAACAAGTTATGTATATGAAACTCAGTGCAGTCCTGATTCCGGTAAAGGGAAATTGCTTTTCCCCACCAATTCTTTGTTTCCAAACACTGCCTAATGTACATCTCTCCTTCTTTGAATATTCTCAGAAGCTCATTTAATGGATGCTCAATAATTTTCCATTTTGTGTTCTTTTCTTCAAATCGCAAATTCTGTTTGATTTGCTCTGCAACTGTTTTATATGCTGAAGTAAACATATCAACCAATAGACAACACTGCCTCTGATTAATCTGTATATCATCTTGGAATACCATTATGGCATTTAAACTTCCAATCACCTTTCCAATCTCTCTGAATTGCTCCATTCTTTCTTAGATTTTATCACCACAAGATTTCTAAATCATATCATCATCTGAATCTGTTTTAAATTTCAGAAAAAAAAAATTAACGAAAAATTCACCAGGAAATTACCTCCAAAAAATATTGTGAAGAAACTAGAATTTTCCTTGCAATACGGGCAGATAAAAGAAATCTTTATTGAATCGCACACATAAAAGTATTTATTGCATCAACAATACAGAATGATGAAAACGGATTCATCGACCCAAATTTATGAAATGAGGCCTAATTTGTTGGTTGGACGGCAATGTGAGAATGAATGATTGAATTAATTAATACCAAATAATCGCAAGAAAAAGAAAAAAACAAGAAATTTTGCAAAAATCAACTGAGATGGGAATATAAATTTGACATCAAAACTGGTCATAGAGAAAGATCCAAGAGAACGGGAAAATTGGGCTCTCTTGGATGAATCTAAAATTAGCAGAAAATGAAATATATTCATGCAGAGAGATTGCCAACATCTGGCAGCTTGTTGGCCATTTTTAAGATTTGTATTGGACGAGGTTCGACAGATAAGTTGTAAGTCTTCCATATATCAAAATTCAGATGCAAAATGGCCTACGGTACACCACCCTTTTCTTGATCTCCCTGTTAATTTCTCTACCTAAAAGAATTTTTATTTTTATTTATTTATTTTTTTTTTTTTGGAGGAAGACAAGATGTTCGTTCTAATCCGGTTATTGTCAATTTCTTGACCTAAAAGTAATTTTTAGAGAGGAAGAATTGTTGAATCTATAGTTGCTGGTTGTCTCGATTCAGTTCTAACAACGCATTTCTCTTGAGCTAAGAAGTAAAACTCTTGTTGTAAATAATATAATCTTCATATTGTACATTCATGGAGTTGTACTTAGTATTTCTCAAAAATATGATCTTTTGAAATTTATGATCTTGCTTGATTAGAATATTTACTATTGATTACGTGTAGAGTTTGGTAATACTTTCTGAATATTTGAATTAATTGTCACAATGCATGACTTCTTGTCTTGTAATTTGATAGTACTCTCTTACCATCATCATAAAAGACTAGGGTCCCGTTTGGGAGTGATTTTTCATTCAAAAAAATTGATTTTTGATCGTTATTTTACTATTCTAATTGTAATTTTTGACTTCTTCTCTCACATGTGGCGCTCACTTTTCTCCTGATGATCAAAAAATCAATTTTCAAAATTACTTTCGAACAAGCCCTAGATCCTAGATTATTAAAGTTCCATTATGAATTATAGTGACATAATTTAGTTGAAATCACAAAATGTATGCTCTCGAGATCCTTAGAAATGTAACATTATTGTTTTAAATAATCGATTCGATAACTTATTTGTATAATACGGGTTGGTGCTTGGCTACAATTAATCATATTTGAGGTTTGTGTTGGTGGCGATGGTGGTGATGGAGACTTGGTGATGGTGGAGGTGACGGTTGTTCGGATTTAATGTTTGTGAAGGTGGTGGTTAAGCTGGTGATGCCCATCTAATAATCATGCAAATTAATTCTCACAATATGAAAGATTGGGCTAGCATAATATTTAGCCTTCCTGCATTTTGAGATGCTAAATTATTAATCAAACTATTCAAATCAAGTTTTTTTAATATATTATTTTCAATCGAAACTATAGTTAATACATTAAATCTTTCTTGTGACGTAATTGATCGAATATAAAACTCAATCAACTTTAACTTTGAAAAACTTCATTTGACGGCGGTGACAATTGGAATTGCCTCTTTCAAGCATCCTATAGAAATTTTCAAGCTTGGAATCAGCAACCACTAAATCTATGACTTTCGTATCTAAACCTTAACTGCCCTTTGAAAACCAAGTTCAATATTTTTTTATTTATTCATTTGAATACCAAAGTCCCTATTTCTTTCCATTTAACATATGATGATAATTCCCACTTTTTCTTATTATTATTATTTTTTTTTTTTTCCCTTCTAATTTTCACCGTTTCTAAAATAACTCTTCGACCTTTCACCAGAACAAGTTGGGCAATCTACTCAACCAACTCACCTATCTCAATAAATTGATGCTATGTTTACGTGTTTATAATTTATCTCTTTTTCTCATTTCTTTATTCAAAATCAATCATAAACTCGGTCTTTAAAAAGAAATATAATTTTATATTAATATTATAAAAAACCGATTAACAGAATGTTAATCAATTTCGAGAATAATGCCACTTGACCCGCACTGATGACACCCTTAATGATCGCACCCTCACATGCGATGCATGAATCCCAAGCGAAAAAAATAATCACAACCCCCATGTGTATGCAATCATCCCCGTAGTTGACGAATGTTGGTGCGATTTTTGGAAAACAACCATAAAAATTGCCAGTATTGTATATTCGGTAAACTTTCAATTTCTATTTTCATCACGTGCAATTTGAATTAACCTTTTCATCTATCAAGTGCAGTTCCATTTTTCAAGAAGATGATAATTAACAGGGCATTCATCAACCATCCACGCGGGTCGTGTAGCATTGTTGCGTTCCCAAAGGATGATTAATCTCTCTCTTTTTTCCTCTTGGATCCATTCAACGAAATTTCATCATAGAATATTACAGAGTTCTCATATTCGAAATTAATGTATGTAACTATGTTTCGTTGATGCGTTCAAAAGTTTTGCCACACATAATTGACGAATGTTGGTGCGATTTTTGGAAAACAACCATAAAAATTGCCAGTATTGTATATTCGGTAAACTTACAATTTCTATTTTCATTACGTGCAATTTGAATTAACCTTTTCATCTATCAAGTGCAGTTCCATTTTTCAAGAAGATGATAATTAACAGGGCATTCATCAACAAATATGAAGGATTCAACAGAATTACATACTTTCAATTCCAACGACAATATCCAGTCTTTCCCAATAATGATTCAATATCAAGAATTCAAAGCATCGTCTTCATTCATTGGGCGGGAACACATCATTTTCACACAAATGATGCTATCCCATTGCATACTTCTGTGTCCAGCTCCGTGCAGTTTGCTCGTACTTGGCCTTGTCTGTCTTGTACATGTGAGCAATTTCTGGCACAAGGGGGTCGTCTGGGTTTGGATCCGTCAAAAGTGAACAGATCGAGAGCAACACCTACAAGAGCCACAACTTTAAAAAATAGAAATGGCAAATTTTGCACAATCAAAAAGCAGTTTCAGTTTACAACTTAACAAAAGCAAATTTCTAGCAACAGTAGTGAGCTGGGACTAGAAGGGGAGTTCTGATTATTGGATTCGTTTATTAGATATTAAGAAAGATAAAAGTGAAGAAAAGAAAAATAACCTTTGATATTGTTAAGGCAGGGCTCCACTGCTCCTTCAAGATGTCAAGGCAAATACTGCCATTGCTGTTTATATTTGGGTGGAAAACTTTTGTCCGGAATGCAACCTGAAAAATTTCGAGATATAAAATGAAGGAATACGTTAGACAGGATCATAAGAAAAACTAATGTTTGATAATCGCACCAAAATGCAACTTCGATAATCCCATGAGCATATCATACATTAGAACTCTAAGTAAACTGTTTCAAGGAAATATTTTCTCATCACATCTGAAATCAACAAGATCTTGCTCTTAAATCTGACATCGAAGTGGTTAACGACGTGCTGACCAGAAGCTTACATTGTTTACCAGTGCACCTCAATAGATGTATTTTAACACACCGAAGAAAATAGAAACAAAAACAGAACTGACATGATTAAATCAATTTCCCGTGTTTTAGCATAGCAAAATTGCTGTTTAGTATTTATCTATAAAAATATGTATCCTGTACATGAACACATCAGAATCCAACAAATTTGATCATTTACTGAGCTGCTGGTACAAGAAATGCCAACTCTTTCTTTCATTCTGTTTATTACAAAGACAGATCCTTGTTGCTTCATTTTTTATTTTATTTTATAAGATTGAGAAGGATATATTTGGCTCACAAATGCCCCTCAAGTTTCAATACATTTTAACACGTACCTTCGGAGGTTTGAATGGGTAATCAGGGGGGAAATGGATGGTAACCAAAAATACTCCCCCTGCATAAGGACTCTCTTGAGGTCCCATTATTGTTGCTTGCCAGTGAAACATGTCCTCACCAACTGGGCCTGTAAATATACACAATAGAAATAGGTATCATATTTCCATCTTACAGTGAGAAAGAATAATAATAAATATATAGTGTGTGTTTAAGCCACATTATTTTTAAATAATGTATTTTGAAATAGTAGATTGATGGAGAATGTGTGATTGAAAAATGAGGACATTTTTTTTTTTTATTTACGTGTAATATTATTTTACTAAAGAATGTGTGGTTGAAATGATGTCAAATTACTGTTCAAAAATGTTTTTTTTTTTTTTTTTTTAAAAAATGTGGCTCAAACAAGGCCATAATATAAGTAAAAGCATATTATACAGGCGATGTGCCAACCCAAGGTTGTGATAGATAAGTAATAGCATGATTACATGTTCTAACGATCTACTAGTTGTGTCAATAAAGATGTATAGCAGATTATATTAGCTCGCTCATGGAAATCTTTGAAAAGAAATCGGAATCTGATCAATATATTTGAATTTTTCCATGAATCTGAAAGAAAAAGGAAACATATAAGATCTTTCTATCATTTGAATTTAATGATTTGGTATTGGATTTTTTATTTATGGGGATCTATTAAAACTCTAGCTACTTTTTAAAAATCCTCAAGGATTACAGAATCGAGGCCAATTGAAGTAAAACTAGAAAGAGCAGCAAAATTGCTAAAAAGAAGACTCCAAAAAATTTGCAACCCAGTGAAGCAAAATCAACAGGTTTGGAAGGGAAAGAATTGCAAATAACAAAGTTGAATATTCAGTTTCTGAACTTGTAGTAGCAAAAATAACTAACTACTCAATGTACACATATAACATATGCTTTATCTATTGTCAAATTTCTACCAGTGTGACAGGTCTGTCTAGTAGCTATCAGGCAACAGCGTCTCCATCCTATCTTCTTGATTTAAAACAGATTATGCAGAGCGGTCGATTTTCCACCATCTTTGGAGAATCATCCTTGTATATTAATATAACACCGATCTGCAAGTGATCAGGATATAGACAAATTGCTTCCTTCTTAGAGGCTTCATCTAACTTAGGTCGATCCAGGCTAGAGGCTGACCAACATCAAGACAACCCCACCTTGGAAGCACAGCTATACTAAACTGATCGTGCATGTTAAATTTGATGTATTGCCTATCTAAAAGCCTTGATATCATGACAGGTACTAGCCCTCAGGAAAGAGTAGGAATCATTTTAAATACACTCGGACACAATACCAATGGTTCCTTCATTTGAGATTAGGGAGGAGGTATATTTATGCTCCTACTCCCACTCCAGTCAGTAGCCACGGATCCGAAAGAAAAAAATGCAAACAAAAAAATCCCCTGATAAGGTAAGTTTTTCCTTTATGGAAGGTACGGAAACCGTAAACTCTTGCGAATCAGTGTATACCAATGCAAAGCATAGATACTCACAAACCAATCTTCCCCCTCAGACTTCTGATACAAAGCCCAGAAAATCAACAACCATCAGGCAGACTTTCGTCCACCTTTTTTTACCATTAAGCATTGAAATCGCGTACAAACAAACCTATTTACACCCAACATGGTAAACAACAGAAGTGCAGATGCCCTCATGTTAAAACATTGGCATAAACATTCAAACATCACAGATCAAACCTCAAGAAAATTAATCAGCAAGTAAAATCAAAGAGAAAAAACACAAATACATCTACAAAATATTAAAGGGCCAAAAAGGTACCGGCACTGCAAGAAGTAGGGGGGTCTTTCTGCAGATCCTTGAGCTCTTTCAAGATCCGTTTCGAAGCCATCAAGACAAATCACCCCAGAAAACAGCAGATCTGTCGATTTTTTTAAATAAAATGCATAAAGAAAACCAAAAAATAAAAAAATAAATACAAAAACAAGTGAATACGTGTGTGTATATATAAAGAAATATGTATATACTGACGATGGATGTGAATGAGAAAGACTTCTGTGCTCTTCCTTGTGGTTGAGATGCTGCCGCCGCTGTTTCTTGACGTGAATAGACGACTTTGGGGAGGGGAAATGAGAATATGTTGTGACATTTTTGTTTTCTTTTTGTTATTTTTCAATTGTGAAAGTATTCCTCTTTACAGAAAAAAATTGTCAAATCAATGATAATTCAATCAAAATCGACACAACTCTCTCCCATTTATTTATTTATTTATTTATTTTAAATCCAACCCCAAAAGGCGTAATTAATTATTAGTTAACTAAGCCTATCCTCCTTCTAGTAAAATATAAAGGGTAATTAGAACAAAATGTGTTTACTTTTCAAGGTTATTGTGAAAAACGTTCCTACCTTTTATTTTTTGACATTTTTGCCCCTATTTCCACCTTTCATTACGGAGAATGCTCTTTTCGTCATTTTTCCAATAAAATGACAATTTTACCCCCGATTCAAATAAAACAAAAAAAAACAAAAAAAAATCAATATATAACTAATTGCAATCACAGTCCAAAATTTTTCAAAACATTACAGCTTAGTCTTAAATTCTCCTCCACCATCACTTTCACAACCCAAACACCTTCCAGCCACCATACCCGCTAGACTCCAGCACCACCAGCCTTACCTCACTCTCCCCTACCTCGATCCCACCTGAATTCATCGGAAAATCAAGCCAAAATCTCCAATTTCGATGACAAAATCAAGCCAAAAATCAAGTCGATTCCGACAAAATCAAGCCAAAATCTCCGATTCCGACGACACCCATGCCATGCCCAACATTCCAGTGAATTATACACATCAAGGGGTCCCTTTACATGGTCGTCAATCATCCATAAACACATGAAATCAAAATCAGTAGGCTCATCTTCGAACACAGGGATTTTGTAACTTTCAGACGAATTTTCCGACGACGGTGGTGGAACCCATGATCGTGGACCAGCACGACAAGCACCTACTCTTCATGGCGCATCCAATGAACATATGGGTGGTCCTCAATTTGGCCTGGAAATGGCAGTTTATGGGTTTTCTTCCGATGAACAACCTACCTGCACGAAAGAGGTTTTCTTCCATCAATTTATAGCTCAAATGTGATTCAATACACAAATCAACATGAGGAAAATGAAATTCAAGGTCAAAAAGCATTGGGTAATAGCTCAATTGCAGAAATTACAGCACTTGTTTGCCAAATTTTGGAATCAAATGATGTTCTTTATAAACCTATAACTACTGAATTTTGGATATTTTGACTTGATTTTCTGGTGAATTCAGGTGGGTTCGATATAGGAGGGAGTGAGTAAGGCTAGTGGTGGTGGAGTTTGACGAGTATGGTGGCCGGAAGGTGTTTGGGTTGCAAAAGTGGTGGTGGAGGAGAATTAGGACTAAACTGTAATATTTTGAAAAATTTAGGACTGTGATTGCAATTAATTATTTATTGTTTTTTTGGTTTTATTTTTGTTTTTTTTAATCGGGGGTAAAATTGTCATTTTATTGGAAAAAAAGACGAAAAGGACATTCTCCGCAATGAAAGGTGAAAATAGGGGCAAAAATGCCAAAAAAATAAAAGTATGGATATTTTTCACAATAAGCTAAAAAGGTAGGGACGTTTTGTATCAATTACCCAAAAATAAATTTTGGAGATAGAATTTGAACTTATAGCCTTGCGAGCTATTAAAATGCTCTATTTTGCGATGAAAAGAAGAATTGAATCAAAATTGATTATGGTGTGATTAAAATTTACCATCATTTTTCTCTAGTTTTGTTAAAACAACAAAAAAAACTGAAAGATGACGCATGGGAAGCAGGAGCCACTATGAAGACTGGGATCAAGAAACATGTGGGAAGTCGTGGGGGGTAAAAGTGAGGAAGAAAGTAAACGTAAATGTATTCTTTGTATATTGTATATATGTAGTAACACAACTAACCACAAAGTAGAATTCTTGAAGTCACAAAACTATTTTAGGAAATTTCAAGCTTGTAATTGCTCATAGATACAATGTCCCTGTTTGACAATCGTTATTTGGGAAAAACAATGTTTTGAATGGTAATTTTTAGCGGAATGTGTGGTTAAGAATAGGAAAAAATTTTAAATTTACGCACAAAATATTTTATTGTGTAAATAATTGGTTAAAAATGAGTATGTAGACAAAAAGAGTTTTCAAATAATGATTCTCAAACAATAACTGAATTTAATAGGTTAGAGGGACAAGGTGGATCAGAAATAGACAAAGTCTGTTGCAAGAGGCCTCAAACTGAATGCTGACGTTGTTGTACATGGGTTTATGAAGAAATGAAAGAATAATAAACACATAATGGGGCTAGTGCAAAATGAAAAATCGAAGAAATGCTTATTTATAAGGTGACAAGGCCGTCATGATTTAAGGAAGCAGGCTAGCTAGTGCTATAGATATAGATTGAGTCCGCCAAGCTTTTAAGTAAATACAAGGTGCTCCACTTCGTCAATATTAAGTAACCAATTGGTGAAGAAGGAAGGCTACATGAACAGTCATTTGATCCCCATCAAAATCTGCATTGAATCCTTTACAATCTAATGGAGCATATTACGAAAGCATATTGTAATTATTATGAAAAGAACTTAACAAAATGTACTACAAATCGTGCTTGCATTGGAGCTTTTGATAGTAGGCGAACTCAAATTCTATCTAGTTCAACTAAATAGGGACTTTCTGGAGCACTTTTTGCAAATTGTGTTTATGATCTAGGAACAAAACGGGAAGGCATAGTAAGTACTCGATGCCAATTTGCCACTATCGACAATAGAAAGTGTGCACTTGATATAATTTAGCCCCCATTTGGCTCTCATTCTCTTTCATTTTGTTTATCTATCTTATTTTCAATCACACAATCTTTCATAAAATAATATTACACGTAAATTGAAAAAAATTTATTCTTTTTCAATCACACATTCTTAAAAAATACTATTCCAAACATTAAATCTTGGGAAAAAAATGGGGGCTTATATAAACATATATTCAATCGTGATACAAATTGACTAATTCATGTCTACTTTGTAATGATGCAATAAATTTATAATGTATTAGAAACTCACAAAGTATTAGAAACTCACTAATTCATGTATTACTTATGATATGATTATTTCTTGTTTTTATAACAGTAGGCATTCATATGATTTATATTCTAGCCCTATCTTGTTCAACTAGAAAATTGGATTAAATTTACATTAAAATCAACAATTAAATTTAACCATGTATTTAATGGGATTCACAACTTTTCAATTAGATATTTAATTAACTTTTATCAAAATTTACTAAAAATCTGATTCTTATCTAAACAAAATAGAGTCCTACTGAATGATAATTTCTTTTGTGATAATGAAATTTTTAATATTTCTATGACAAGGCGAATGCATGCATGGTCGTCTACTATTCCATTGTTTGTGTTTTTCTAACTTATATATTTTTTTAAATATTATAAAAAATATAGTAAGTATAGAGATTGTCATTTATCAATGACATTATTGCCATCATGGAGATGAAATTCTTCCACTTCGTCAATATTAAGTAACCAATTGGTGAAGAAGGAAGGCTACATGAACAGTCATTTGATCCCCATCAAAATCTGCATTGAATCCTTTACAATCTAATGGAGCATATTACGAAAGCATATTGTAATTATTATGAAAAGAACTTAACAAAATGTACTACAAATCGTGCTTGCATTGGAGCTTTTGATAGTAGGCGAACTCAAATTCTATCTAGTTCAACTAAATAGGGACTTTCTGGAGCACTTTTTGCAAACTGTGTTTATGATCTAGGAACAAAACGGGAAGGCATAGTAAGTACTCGATGCCAATTTGCCACTATCGACAATAGAAAGTGTGCACTTGATATAATTTAGCCCCCATTTGGCTCTCATTCTCTTTCATTTTGTTTATCTATCTTATTTTCAATCACACAATCTTTCATAAAATAATATTACACGTAAATTGAAAAAAATTTATTCTTTTTCAATCACACATTCTTAAAAAATACTATTCCAAACATTAAATCTTGGGAAAAAAATGGGGGCTTATATAAACATATATTCAATCGTGATACAAATTGACTAATTCATGTCTACTTTGTAATGATGCAATAAATTTATAATGTATTAGAAACTCACAAAGTATTAGAAACTCACTAATTCATGTATTACTTATGATATGATTATTTCTTGTTTTTATAACAGTAGGCATTCATATGATTTATATTCTAGCCCTATCTTGTTCAACTAGAAAATTGGATTAAATTTACATTAAAATCAACAATTAAATTTAACCATGTATTTAATGGGATTCACAACTTTTCAATTAGATATTTAATTAACTTTTATCAAAATTTACTAAAAATCTGATTCTTATCTAAACAAAATAGAGTCCTACTGAATGATAATTTCTTTTGTGATAATGAAATTTTTAATATTTCTATGACAAGGCGAATGCATGCATGGTCGTCTACTATTCCATTGTTTGTGTTTTTCTAACTTATATATTTTTTTAAATATTATAAAAAATATAGTAAGTATAGAGATTGTCATTTATCAATGACATTATTGCCATCATGGAGATGAAATTCTAAAAAATATTGGGATGACTAGTTCATGTTATTTTCTTTAGCTACAATGATGGACTCTCGTATTAACTTACAGGGTCTTAAAGTTATTATTGAAAAAAATTCTTCGCATTTAACATTTGATATCCCCACACATAATTGTGATATAGAAAAGTATCTTATGCAATTTATTCTCAATATGCTGCTAAACATGGTAGAAATAATGATTCACAACCACAACTTTCTAGAGTTTCATCATTCCCTAATAACGATGTATGGACTTCTTTAAGTACGAGTATTGCGTAAAGTTCATTATCTTCCCATTTTTCTTCCAGACCTAGTACATGTACCAAACAAAATAAATTCCCTTATGCATTAGCTAGATATTTTTCTTATCATATTTATAGTGTTTTAAATTGAGAAGAAATAATTAATTTCGATCTTCTCAGATGGGTTGAACAAATGAAAAATATTCGATATTATCTTTAATGGCGTGTTACCTATTAAACGTTCGGTGAGATTAGAGGTTGCGCTTGCGCATGGTGAGATTTGTCAGATGAAAGAAGCAAGTTAAATAAGATATATTGGAAGCTTTAATATGCTTAAAAGACCGATAATGGTTGACATTTCACTTTCTTTTTTTTTTTAAATTGTACATGAAATATTCATTTGTTTACAATCTTAACTCCACATAGGTATTGTAACCAAATTTGATATTGGATAAAAATTATGAGGTTTTTAGAACTTCTAATTAATTTAGTGAAATATATATATATATTTTTACATTGACCATGCTCTCGACATTGGCATGCTTGAATCAAATTGTCCCATCATCATATTGTAATGCAATGTTACCTATTAAACGTTCGGTGAGATTAGAGGTTGCGCTTGCGCATGGTGAGATTTGTCAGATGAAAGAAGCAAGTTAAATAAGATATATTGGAATCTTTAATATGCTTAAAAGACCGATAATGGTTGACATTTCACTTTCTTTCTTTTTTTAAATTGTACATGAAATATTCATTTGTTTACAATCTTAACTCCACATAGGTATTGTAACCAAATTTGATATTGGATAAAAATTATGAGGTTTTTAGAACTTCTAATTAATTTAGTGAAATATATATATATATATTTTTACATTGACCATGCTCTCGACATTGGCATGCTTGAATCAAATTGTCCCATCATCATATTGTAATGCACAATTCATCAATCCATGCAATTGAAGGAGCTATCCCCACTAAGGTAGCAGAACTCAGATTCACTTCAATGGCTTGTCAATATCCTTTCTGCAACGTGAGGTAAATTGTATCGCTCATTCCCTTGCTAAGTTTGCTTTTTTGCGTAAACTAGTTATACACTGGGCTGGGGAAGTCCTCACATTGTATTGATGATCTTCTCCTCATGAATTTGAATAAATGCAACAGTTGGGTTACTTTAAAACAAACTAATAGTAAATTCTCCCTTTTGATCTTTGCCGGTCATTATGTCATTATAAAGATTTCATTTACAATCATGTTTGGAAAGTGCTTATGATGAAGAAGTGAATAGTATTCAAAGATCACTGCAAATGAATAGATAAAAAATTACTTTAGTGTTTATAAATATGAACCAATGACCAATTGAGATGCTTAAAAAAAATATTTTTTATTACTTCGAAGCAAAGCTTACTAGACTCGGCAAGTCGCTTATAGAATGCCGATTCCAATTTTTCACTTAATAGGCTAATAAAGAGGTTGTTAACCTAGGGTCTATTCAGTAGTGATTATGAGAATTGATTTTATTTTTATTTTATTTTTACTGATAGAGAGAAAAGTGAATCTTACTTGTGAGTGGAGAAATAAAAAATGACAGTTGGAATAGTAAAATAATGATCAAAAAATTGATTTTTTGAAGTGAAAAATTGCTACAAAATTGGGGACTAATGTGGTTTGGAATCTTTATTTTTTGTTTGTTGATGGAACCAAACGTAGACAAAATATTTTAAATCAAACCATGATATTGAATTTTAACATACATATAGCAAAATGTGTGATTTTATTTTCCACCAAAATATAGCTAGTCATTCTTTCTTCACTAGGCAAAGGCTTCTGCAGCAAATAGAAAAGTTGCTCTCTCAAATTCTGTCACCAAAATGGATGTTCTTATCACAACTTCTTGAATTCTTCCCTTAAAAGAAAACTTCCTCAAAAATATTTGGCATTATAGACATGTTCGGTATAAAATAGCGATTACTAATACTCTCGAGTTCAACGTATCAAACTAACTATACATGTATATAAACTGTTATAGATTTGTTGTGCAACAATAGACAAGACAATATAGCGTGTCATTGTAATACTAATTAACTTGTAATAAATTGTAGTGTGTCATTGTTATGTGTGTGTATGAATATGATAAACGAGTTGTTTAATGTTGTCCAATAGCAACTTTAGGCCTTCCTCCGACTCCTGCAGATCTGCCAATCTATGTTACTGATAAGCATTCCTTATGAAGATCGATATGATTTGAGAAATAATCGTTCAATTTACATATACCCTGCAATCAATCGATAAACAAAATAAGATTATCGAACAATGACTTGAAGATCATTAAAAACATGTCTAATTCACATTGGACTATTTGAGGAGCCAAATACTGAGGGACTATATTAGGCTGGTGATTAAGTAGTGATAAACCTACTCTTAAGTCTTGGATAATACTGAAATTCACATGCATGTTTATCTTCGGAAAATATTTGGTATGTGTAACTAGACAAGACTCGATCTTACCACACAAGCTGCGATGGTTTCTAAGCAACCAAGGTTTGTAATTAACATATGTTGTCCGGACATTTGGTATGGATTACACGATATGACTCAATTTTATAGAACAGCTCACAAGGTTTTCTAATTAGCATAGCTATTCATGACATATTCGGCATGAGTTACCGGAAAAGATTAGACTTGACTAAACAAGCCATGAGGGTAAAGGATTTGCAATTGAGTAATACTATTCATAGTCAGCGTACACGGTAGTTATCCTATATGACAAGTTGTTATTTGAGGCATTAATTTTCTATAATTCTATTGTCTCAAATAATAAGTTATCATATATTATGATTACTGTAGACTACGAATGGTATTATTATTTGTATTTTGCATATTGTTTCAAGATGTATTTGGTAGGTGTTTCTGGTCAAGACTCGACCTTATCGAACAAGCTACAAGGGTTTATAATTAGCATAGCTTTTTGGGTATTATAGCTTTTCGAGTTTTTACCAGTCTAGCAACTTAATGCGGCATTTGGGTGTAGCGCTGTTCTGAATCTGATTCAATGTCATGCCAGCACAAATCACATCCACTTGAACTGTACCAGTTTTCCATCCATTCCCCTTCAATCCAATTCCTGTCCTCACCTCAGGACTCACCACCAAATTCTTGTTCTTGAATCCATTTATAAACTTATCAGCATCTTTTTTGGCCAAAAGTTCTTGACTTGCCTTGATTGTAAATTTCAAAGTTGTCACGTTGTTTTTCTCTTGTGTGAATCCAGGCAAAGTTTGTTCCCCCAAATTTGCACCATTTCCAGCATTCAAAACCATCCGTGTCTTATCGTACTCCATCTCGAAGTGTTTGTTCGGGTTCTTTATCTCAACGTCGAGACTCGACTGCGCATCCAATGCGGGTCCCGCATCGGTGTTCATTACATTGAATTTGGTGAATTTGATGGTTTTAAGGTGGACAACAGGCAGCTTTGGATCAAACCAGGCATAGAAAAAGGCAGCAGCAGCAATGATCAAGAGGATTAACAAAACAAGGGATATGCAAGTGCAGCAACAACACATCCTGCACCAGTTCCGCCGCTTTTTTTGGTAGAATGATGGTGGTAGGGCGGCGGCTTTTCGTGCTGGTGGTGGCTGCAGCCTCTGGACTGGGATATCTCTGTATCCAGGTGGTTTCTGCAGTGGTGTTTGTCCTTGTGACATTTTTCCAGGTCTTGAACCCTTCCCTGCTCCTGAAATTTCTTTTCACGAACAAAAAATTTCAATTATCACCTATTACCAAAAACCTTAAATTCTTAAAAAATAATAAGAATGCCGAAGACCATGAATATAGTATCACGACAACAAATTAAGGCTTGATCCCAACAAGTTTTGGGTCGAAAACACACGCCAACAGGTTCAACAGCCCACGTTGGCAACCAAAAAATACGAATACAAAAAAAATAAAAAATAAAAAATAAAATACTAAGCTTCATCCTTCAAATGAGTCGACAACATGAATTCTTTTTCACCACTCCAATCCATTCAACATGCCATATTAATTTAGGAAACTGAAGAAAGCATGAATAAAAGCCAATACAAAAAGGAAATGAGAATGAAATAAGAGGAGGAAAAAATATTTAAATTGGACTAATCAAGAGCCTTTCATATCAAGAATCAAAATTCTTGCACTTTCTCTGAGCAAGATTCAAAGGGTTCTACATTATGTAATAATTGGTTCGAAATTAAATGTAACTTAAAGAAATGTGAAGAAAAATATCCAAAAGATGAAAATTGAAAATTGAAAAGACAACCAAATTATGAAGAATTTCTGGAAAAATACAAACCTCGAAACAGATACTAATGCTGCATTAAATTTGATTCTTTGAGTCAGAAAGATTTTGTTGTGGGCAGGTAGAATTTGGAGAAACTGAGATAAATGAGAAAAAAGGAATACAAGAAAATGGAATGAATTGGGGTGAATGGGGGTAAAAGGTGAGAGAATGTAATCAGTGGTGCAAACTGAAGAGCGAGATTTAATCACAGCTCTGCATGTATTGACATGGCAATGGTGGGAAGTCTTCAACTGAATTACCTGATGGAAATATTTGTATTTATAGACATGCATGATGCATTTATAAAATATATTTATCAAAATTTTCAAAATTTGACTCCACCATTTAGTTAAAAAGAAAAAGAAGGGTTAAAGGCTGGATAATGGGGCATCCAGGTGGTCCTCAGTTGGGATTTACGAGTAGCAAGATAAGGACGAACGAAGACTAAAATATCTCAATTTATCATTTCGTACTACTTATTTATTTATTATTTTTTAAATTCGATTTAAATTTAAACACATAAAAATAAGTCTTGAAGAGGATTGTGTTCTCCATTCCTACCGCTTCCCCATAAGATATGACAAAGCATACAATTTTATTATCCCTAAAAGGGTTGGATTGATATTGAAATTAGAGTTATTGAAAATCAAATAAATAAACACAAATGAATTTCGAGGGTGAATGGATGTGTAATATTATTTTAGTGGATCATTATATTCCTATTTTCTATATATAATCCGACCAATTCGCAATTTTTCAATTGAGCTAGTCAATCAATCCAATTTTTATAACATTTGTTTGATAATAATCGTTCAACTATACCCAAGAACATGAGGTAAATGAACAACTTGCACAAAAAGTTGGAATGTTGAGGACAATATGGATTTATTTATTTATATTTATTAACGACTTGAATAAGTTTTAGTTTGAGAGATTTGTGCTATTTCAATCGAACATATTAGAAGAGTGAGAATTAAGTCAATTATAAAAAATTATGCCGTGTTTGGAAATAGCCTAGTCTGGGTGTCATTTGGCATAGTTCCTTTTGGATTTCCTTCTTGATTAATCACAACTATAGCATTGTCATCATATCGTATTATCATACCGTTGTCACGTTTAAGTTCTTTATTCTTCTTTCTTTCTCTTGGCATCAATCAGTTCTTTTCGAGTGTTTTCTTGGTTTGATCAAATAGTCACAATTTGAATCAAACGTCTCCATTGTATCTTGAGAGAGATTTTCTATCATACCCCAATTGTGACTTTATTGGATAGGGGAGAAACATCTCTTAAAAGATAACGTTTTTTCGTACCTTAGAGTTCATTAAATTTTCAGATTTCCCTACATTTTTCTCAACACAAGATACTCTCAGACATATCAAGTGCCTAGTCTCATTCGAACGTTATGCTGGTTTTTCGTATTTGTCCCGAGGAAATCATGTAATCGACTTGCTAATTGCTGAGATATGGGAGCAACGCTATGGTACTTTTGACTTATCCCGACAATTTTTGCCCTAGTACAGATTGTCAATTATGGGTTCCCCAGTTTAGAGGCTTTTAGGCTTTTTGTTTCATCTTTCACATTTATATACTAAGGGATCGTTCGATTCTCATTCTTTGGCCACAAAAATGAAAAGTATGACTCTTGGCCATCACATCAAATTATCATATTTGACTTTCTATCTCTTGTGTGGATCCTGTAATGACTATATTTTTCATTTTCATTTTTAGAAAAATGATAATCAAATGGGTTCTAGATAGTACTTCTTTATTTACTGCTTTCAGTTTTCATAGCTTTGAAGGTTGGTTAGGTATTTGCCCACTCCATTACATTAATTTATATTTTATTTATATTATGTTAGTGAAAATTCTAACCTCCTCCGTCCCGTCTTGGTTTAATCTAAAATTCACACTAGTATATGATGGTGATTTCCTAAAAAATAAAATGGTCTATTCATTTATGTGTCTGGAAAGAATTTATAAATAGCTTGATTTATAAATAAATAAAAATGAATGATAGATAATTAAATAATCCTTGTAGGTCTAGTGAAATGTGAGATTGAAAATGAGGTTTGACAATTTATAAACAATTTATTAAATTTGCCAAATGAAGGATTAATCTTTTAATTAATTGAGATATAGATGGACATAACAAACTATATAGAGAATATTGATAGTAAAATCAAACATATCTAAAAATGAAGGATTGATGAGAAACTTTTGAAAAACAATAAGACCCACATTGATTTTGTATAATTTCCAATTCATTCTTCAATTATTATTAAAAATTAAATAATTTTATAATATACTATTTAATATTATTGAATTTACAATCATTACTTTCATATCCATTTCATTTAGAAAACAAATTATTTTCAAAGCAAGTTAATAATTGTTTTTATCTTCCATAATATATTCAAAACATATCCAGAAGATTAAATAAAAAGCACGAGATTTATCTCCCTTTCTAACTCTATTTCTGCATAATTTCTACAAACTATAAATCAACCCTTAAATTTTTATTTATATATTTTTTAGCTTCGGCAAATAGATTGCAGTTACGGAGCCTAACAATGTTGGACTGTCAATATTTTGTTTGTAGAGTTTTAATGGTGGATAATTCTTTCGACGCTTGTGTTATTTTGTTCAAGTTTATGTGATTTCAAATTTAGATTTTTAACTTTTTTATGTACGTTTAAATAATTATCTTTAATCCAATAAAAGAGAGTGGAGGGGTGTGTGTGTGTGTGTGTGTGTGTATATACGGATTTGATCTACTAAGCATCGTGTTTAGTTTATACTGAGCACCGTGCTTAAGTGGCAGAATACATGGATGGGTAGTTATTGTGAACCTAAGCATGGTGCTTAACATAAATTAAGCACGGTGCTTAGGAGATCGTTACCGTATATATATATATATGTATGTATGTATATATATATATATATATATATATATATAGAGAGAGAGAGAGAGAGAGAGAGAGAGAGAGAGAGAGAGAGAGGCATTTGTCATTGTCAATATTTATACTTAATAAAGCCAATACACCCTCACCCGATACTCACTTAGGGGAGTGTATTCAATTATGACTTTTAATGATTTTTTGAGATTTAAAAAGTTCAGGGGTATTCAATTAAGATTTTTTGAGACTCTCTAAAAGTCACGGTATATTCAATTGAGATTTTTAAAAGTTTTTATAAGTCTTAGGGTATTCAAATTCTAATGACTTTTAGAGACTTTTATAAAAGTCTTTGGAATACTAACTTTTAAGAAGAAAGTACTCATATAAAATTTTAAAATTTGTTTCTCATTAATCACGAAATTTTGGGAGACTTTCATCAAAAAAATAAAAATAAAAAATCAAATTTTCTTTCCTTTAACATTCTATGGACATGTATGATTAAAATTTATTTTTTTAATTGATTATATTTCATTTTTCTTTCTTTCTTTCTCTCTTATTATTTATCTCTATTTTCTATGAAAAATTAAATTAGATTCTTGAAACATTTTTTTCTTTTTTCATTTATTTTTTTTTTGTGAAAAATATCTATTTTTTAATTAAATTATAAAAGTTTATATGAAAAATTATAATTAAATTTAAATATATTGATTTTTATTTATTTTTAAAAGTTACTATTCTAATAATATTGAATCATATATAATTTTGATTATTATTTATTTAATTAAGGTCTTAAATTTATTTATTTTTCAATTTTTTTTATTATATGGGAAGAAGAGGGGGAATTGTGAGAACTAACACCCTATATGTGAGAATTTCACATCAGATCTACGTGAATTCTATTTCAAATGAAAGTTTTCAAAAATCTTTTGAATTCCACAAAAGTCTATAAAATTTTTAAAATGAAAATCTATAGAAGTCTACGAAAGACTTCCACTAATTCTATACAAATCTATAAAAAAATTCACAAAAATCATCACTTAAAAAAAGTCCATCAAAGTTTTCAAAAGTTTCAATTGAATACACCCCCCTTGAAAGTCATTCCTTTAATTAATTAATGTGTGTGTATATAATTAATTGAATTTTTTTTATTAACATAAAAAGATAGAGATTAAAAGACATACTTGAATTGAACTCAACAAATCCCACAATTTTTTTATTACATTTTACCCCTCCATTTTCATTTCTTATACTTACTTCCCACCCCCATTGTTTTCTCTCTTACTCTCATTGTGTCTTCTTTTCAAAAAATAAATAAATAAATAAATAAAAATAATTGTTTTTGTAAAATAAATCAAGGCAACTGTTAATGGAATTGTATGTTTATTTTTCTTAAATTGTCAAGAGAATATAATTTAGAACTAGTTTTTGGTTTAAGTTCTTTCCAATTATCTTTAAATTCTTTTATCATTATCTCCTTTTTGGCTATCATAGGATTATTAGAAAAGAGATGCATGTCTTTAATGATACAGAATCTAATTATATCAAATCCAGTAAAATCGAAATGAATAAACTATACTTACTTGGATTTAGGCAAACTAAAGATTGAAGGTGCCACTATTATATATATATACCAATTATCTCAACTACTTTCAAAACAATATAAGTAATTCGAAAACATTATGCACATCATTCATTCGATATAAGACATACAATGCACATGCTCAATATAAGTGATTTTGAATTGATTTACAATAAGATATGTTTAATGATATTTAAAAGTTACTTCAAATCTTCTTTTCAGTATTTTTTTAAAAATGCCAAGCATAATACCCACTAGTGGGGCCGTTGCTCTCACCTGACTTGGTTGACCACAGCGCCCATTGGATCATAAATTTCTAAGAACTCGTTTGACATAATTCTTACTTTTACGTCTTGTAGAAAAGTTTTGGAGGAAATTACCTTAATTTTCATTTGGAAAATTAATTTTAAAAGAACTTCTTACTCCAAAAGTGTTTTTAGAGGAAGTAGCATTGAATCAACTTCCTCTAAAAGTTTTTCTAATTAGAAGAAACAATTTTATAAAATTAGCCAAAGCTTTTCAAACTAGAAGAAATAGTTTCACAAAATTGGTCGATGAACTTTATTTTGACTTGCCTTAAAATATAAGGACTTGGACTTATTCTCAAGCCCTAA